TTTATGTACTGGGTTGTTAACTCTGATATTGCATTGAACACAGTTTCAGTATGTATGTACTGGGTTGTTAATGCAGATATTGCATTGAACACAGTTTCAGCATGTATGTACTGGGTTGTTAATGCAGATATTGCATTGAACACAGTTTCAGCATGTATGTACTGGGTTGTTAACTCTGATATTGCATTGAACACAGTTTCAGCATGTATGTACTGGGTTGTTAATGCAGATATTGCATTGAACACAGTTTCAGCATGTATGTACTGGGTTGTTAATGCAGATATTGCATTGAACACAGTTTCAGCATGTATGTACTGGGTTGTTAACTCTGATATTGCATTGAACACAGTTTCAGCATGTATGTACTGGGTTGTTAACTCTGATATTGCATTGAACACAGTTTCAGCATGTATGTACTGGGTTGTTAATGCAGATATTCCATTGAACACAGTTTCAGCATGTATGTACTGGGTTGTTAACTCTGATATTACATTGAACACAGTTTCAGCGTGTATGTACTGGGTTGTTAATGCAGATATTGCATTGAACACAGTTTCAGCATGTATGTACTGGGTTGTTAACTCAGATATTGCATTGAACACAGTTTCAGCATGTATGTACTGGGTTGTTAACGCGGATATTGCATTGAACACAGTTTCAGCGTTTATGTACTGGGTTGTTAACTCTGATATTGCATTGAACACAGTTTCAGCATGTATGTACTGGGTTGTTAATGCAGATATTGCATTGAACACAGTTTCAGCGTGTATGTACTGGGTTGTTAATGCAGATATTGCATTGAACACAGTTTCAGCATGTATGTACTGGGTTGTTAACTCTGATATTGCATTGAACACAGTTTCAGCATGTATGTACTGGGTTGTTAACTCTGATATTGCATTGAACACAGTTTCAGCATGTATGTACTGGGTTGTTAATGCAGATATTCCATTGAACACAGTTTCAGCGTGTATGTACTGGGTTGTTAACTCTGATATTACATTGAACACAGTTTCAGCGTGTATGTACTGGGTTGTTAATGCAGATATTGCATTGAACACAGTTTCAGCATGTATGTACTGGGTTGTTAACTCTGATGTTACATTGAACACAGTTTCAGTATGTATGTACTGGGTTGTTAATGCAGATATTGCATTGAACACAGTTTCAGCATGTATGTACTGGGTTGTTAATGCAGATATTGCATTGAACACAGTTTCAGCATGTATGTACTGGGTTGTTAATGCAGATATTGCATTGAACACAGTTTCAGCATGTATGTACTGGGTTATTAACTCTGATATTGCATTGAACACAGTTTCAGCGTTTATGTACTGGGTTGTTAACTCTGATATTGCATTGAACACAGTTTCAGTATGTATGTACTGGGTTGTTAATGCAGATATTGCATTGAACACAGTTTCAGCATGTATGTACTGGGTTGTTAATGCAGATATTGCATTGAACACAGTTTCAGCATGTATGTACTGGGTTGTTAACTCTGATATTGCATTGAACACAGTTTCAGCATGTATGTACTGGGTTGTTAATGCAGATATTGCATTGAACACAGTTTCAGCATGTATGTACTGGGTTGTTAATGCAGATATTGCATTGAACACAGTTTCAGCATGTATGTACTGGGTTGTTAACTCTGATATTGCATCGAACACAGTTTCAGCATGTATGTACTGGGTTGTTAATGCAGATATTCCATTGAACACAGTTTCAGCATGTATGTACTGGGTTGTTAACTCTGATATTGCATTGAACACAGTTTCAGCATGTATGTACTGGGTTGTTAACTCTGATATTGCATTGAACACAGTTTCAGCGTGTATGTACTGGGTTGTTAATGCAGATATTGCATTGAACACAGTTTCAGCATGTATGTACTGGGTTGTTAACTCTGATATTGCATTGAACACAGTTTCAGCGTTTATGTACTGGGTTGTTAACTCTGATATTGCATTGAACACAGTTTCAGTATGTATGTACTGGGTTGTTAATGCAGATATTGCATTGAACACAGTTTCAGCATGTATGTACTGGGTTGTTAATGCAGATATTGCATTGAACACAGTTTCAGCATGTATGTACTGGGTTGTTAACTCTGATATTGCATTGAACACAGTTTCAGCATGTATGTACTGGGTTGTTAATGCAGATATTGCATTGAACACAGTTTCAGCATGTATGTACTGGGTTGTTAATGCAGATATTGCATTGAACACAGTTTCAGCATGTATGTACTGGGTTGTTAACTCTGATATTGCATTGAACACAGTTTCAGCATGTATGTACTGGGTTGTTAACTCTGATATTGCATTGAACACAGTTTCAGCATGTATGTACTGGGTTGTTAATGCAGATATTCCATTGAACACAGTTTCAGCATGTATGTACTGGGTTGTTAACTCTGATATTACATTGAACACAGTTTCAGCGTGTATGTACTGGGTTGTTAATGCAGATATTGCATTGAACACAGTTTCAGCATGTATGTACTGGGTTGTTAACTCTGATATTACATTGAACACAGTTTCAGTATGTATGTACTGGGTTGTTAATGCAGATATTGCATTGAACACAGTTTCAGCATGTATGTACTGGGTTGTTAATGCAGATATTGCATTGAACACAGTTTCAGCATGTATGTACTGGGTTGTTAACTCTGATATTGCATTGAACACAGTTTCAGCATGTATGTACTGGGTTGTTAATGCAGATATTGCATTGAACACAGTTTCAGTATGTATGTACTGGGTTGTTAAATCAGATATTGCATTGAACACAGTTTCAGTATGTATGTACTGGGTTGTTAGCTCGGATATTGCATTGAACACAGTTTCAGCGTGTATGTACTGGGTTGTTAACTCTGATATTGCATTGAACACAGTTTCAGCATGTATGTACTGGGTTGTTAATGCAGATATTGCATTGAACACAGTTTCAGCGTGTATGTACTGGGTTGTTAATGCAGATATTGCATTGAACACAGTTTCAGCATGTATGTACTGGGTTGTTAACTCTGATATTGCATTGAACACAGTTTCAGCGTTTATGTACTGGGTTGTTAACTCTGATATTGCATTGAACACAGTTTCAGTATGTATGTACTGGGTTGTTAATGCAGATATTGCATTGAACACAGTTTCAGCATGTATGTACTGGGTTGTTAATGCAGATATTGCATTGAACACAGTTTCAGCATGTATGTACTGGGTTGTTAACTCTGATATTGCATTGAACACAGTTTCAGCATGTATGTACTGGGTTGTTAATGCAGATATTGCATTGAACACAGTTTCTGCATGTATGTACTGGGTTGTTAATGCAGATATTGCATTGAACACAGTTTCAGCATGTATGTACTGGGTTGTTAACTCTGATATTGCATTGAACACAGTTTCAGCATGTATGTACTGGGTTGTTAACTCTGATATTGCATTGAACACAGTTTCAGCATGTATGTACTGGGTTGTTAATGCAGATATTCCATTGAACACAGTTTCAGCATGTATGTACTGGGTTGTTAACTCTGATATTACATTGAACACAGTTTCAGCGTGTATGTACTGGGTTGTTAATGCAGATATTGCATTGAACACAGTTTCAGCATGTATGTACTGGGTTGTTAACTCTGATATTACATTGAACACAGTTTCAGTATGTATGTACTGGGTTGTTAATGCAGATATTGCATTGAACACAGTTTCAGCATGTATGTACTGGGTTGTTAATGCAGATATTGCATTGAACACAGTTTCAGCATGTATGTACTGGGTTGTTAACTCTGATATTGCATTGAACACAGTTTCAGCATGTATGTACTGGGTTGTTAAATCAGATATTGCATTGAACACAGTTTCAGTATGTATGTACTGGGTTGTTAGCTCGGATATTGCATTGAACACAGTTTCAGCGTGTATGTACTGGGTTGTTAACTCTGATATTGCATTGAACACAGTTTCAGCATGTATGTACTGGGTTGTTAATGCAGATATTGCATTGAACACAGTTTCAGCATGTATGTACTGGGTTGTTAATGCAGATATTGCATTGAACACAGTTTCAGCGTGTATGTACTGGGTTGTTAACTCTGATATTGCATTGAACACAGTTTCAGCATGTATGTACTGGGTTGTTAACTCTGATATTGCATTGAACACAGTTTCAGCATGTATGTACTGGGTTGTTAACTCTGATATTGCATTGAACACAGTTTCAGCGTGTATGTACTGGGTTGTTAATGCAGATATTGCATTGAACACAGTTTCAGCATGTATGTACTGGGTTGTTAATGCAGATATTGCATTGAACACAGTTTCAGTATGTATGTACTGGGTTGTTAATGCAGATATTGCATTGAACACAGTTTCAGCGTGTATGTACTGGGTTGTTAACTCTGATATTGCATTGAACACAGTTTCAGCATGTATGTACTGGGTTGTTAATGCAGATATTGCATTGAACACAGTTTCAGCATGTATGTACTGGGTTGTTAATGCAGATATTGCATTGAACACAGTTTCAGCATGTATGTACTGGGTTGTTAACTCTGATATTGCATTGAACACAGTTTCAGTATGTTTCTACTGGGTTGTTAACTCTGATATTGCATTGAACACAGTTTCAGCATCTATGTACTGGACAGAGTTAAAACAAGAACTGGTCTACTCAGTCGGTATACTGTATCTAAATTGGGTATCCATGTTCAACTGTGGCATGGTGTCTCATTGGGCTAGCACTGTAAAACCTGTATAAGTCCAATCACTGGATTGTCTGGTGCAGATTTGATTATTTACAGACCGCCGTCATAGAGGTGAAATACTGCTGAGTGCAGCATTAAACAACAAATAAAGAAACAGACAAATTTTCATATCGTCATCATATTGCTAGAGTAGGGGTGTTAACACAACCAAACCTGGCAATGTCGACTGCTAGGTGTATCTCAGCAACATCTCAGTGTTGATTTACCTGAGCATGTTGTGTTGCAGAAAAGAAGCGTCAGCCCCCCACGTCCCTGGACTGCACCCCCCCAGACTACATCATGCCCAACAGCAAGGACCGACCCCTCATCCCGCTGCACCCCGGCATCAAGGAACAGAGGGTAGGTGCACCATTCAATCAATGTTTCAAGTGTGTGATGGTAAATGTTTCAGTAACTATGGGTTATATAAACTCGTATATTATGTTTTGAATTTGTTTGTGAAGTTACAATATTTGTGGCTATGTTCCGTGAGGATTCCGTTGTAGAATACGTTCTATCAACCTGTGCTGGTTGTAAGAGGCTCATGATATCAATCACTGGATTGTCTGGTCCAGACTCTATTACATTCGTACAGCTGCATAGTGTTAAACAACCAATAAACAAATGCCCTTATGTGCGAGTTCCTCCCCAGTGTTATTCTGTGAGTTGTCCACCCCTTCCCCTGACCTGCTGCATGAGTTATCCCCCCTCCCTTCCCATGACCTGCTGCGAGAGTTGTCCCCCCTCCCTTCCCCTGACCTGCTGCATGAGTTATCCCCCCTCCCTTCCCATGACCTGCTGCGAGAGTTGTCCCCCCTCCCTTCCCATGACCTGCTGCGAGAGTTGTCCCCCCTCCCTTCCCCTGACCCAAGCTCCTTCCCAGCGTGTGACACCTTCGTTAAACTCTCGGTGACATCGCTGCCACCAGTGTGGGTGCGGCCATTACAAGAATCTTGAAATTTGTCCTCCAACCCGATATGTAGTAACGTTTATACTTTTGTTTATGTCTTTGGGAATGCCATCATATTTCAATTTGAAAAGGTTTACGACTGACGATGTTTTCCAGATGAATTTACTTTGTTGTTTTGATAATCAGATTGGTTCGAGATTGCAGACTAATGGAAAATCAACCAACTTCTCCCTTACATTCTTACTATATCAATAACACGATAGTTTAAATGAAACAGAAATTCAAATTGACAAACGAAGAAAGTAATTAAGCAGCGATAAGTGTATTCGGCGTCACGACAGTCGTCACTTGTTTTGTAAACATAACGGTCATTCGGTTGCGAGTTCAACTCCAAGCATGGTTGTGGCCACCTATTCACAGAGGGGAGTTTTGACTGGTGGCAGCGATAGTATAGAGAGCTCAGGGAACGTACTATTGCTGTGAGGAGCTTGCCCCTGACCTGCTGCGAGAGTTGTCCCCCCTCCCTTCCCCTGACCTGCTCTGTGAGTTGTCCCGTCTAATGGCCTGCTCTGTGAGTTGTCCCGTCCGATGGCCTGTTCTGTGAGTTGTCCCGTCCGATGGCCTGCTCTGTGAGTTGTCCAGTCCAATGGCCTGCTGTGTGAGTTGTCCCGTCCTATGGCCTGCTCTGTGAGTTGTCCAGTCCAATGGCCTGCTCTGTGAGTTGTCCCGTCCGATGGCCTGCTGTGTGAGTTGTCCAGTCCTATGGCCTGCTGTGTGAGTTGTCCAGTCCTATGGCCTGCTGTGTGAGTTGTCCAGTCTAATGGCCTGCTGTGTGAGTTGTCCCGTCCGATGGCCTGCTCTGTGAGTTGTCCAGTCCAATGGCCTGCTGTGTGAGTTGTCCCGTCCGATGGCCTGCTCTGTGAGTTGTCCAGTCCAATGGCCTGCTGTGTGAGTTGTCCAGTCCTATGGCCTGCTGTGTGAGTTGTCCCGTCCTATGGCCTGCTGTGTGAGTTGTCCCGTCCTATGGCCTGCTGTGTGAGTTGTCCAGTCCTATGGCCTGCTGTGTGAGTTGTACCGTCCTATGGCCTGCTCTGTGAGTTGTCCAGTCCTATGGCCTGCTGTGTGAGTTGTACCGTCCTATGGCCTGCTGTGTGAGTTGTCTCCTCCTATGGCCTGCTGTGTGAGTTGTCCAGTCCTATGGCCTGCTGTGTGAGTTGTCCCGTCCTATGGCCTGCTGTGTGAGTTGTCCAGTCCTATGGCCTGCTCTGTGAGTTGTCCCGTCCGATGGCCTGCTGTGTGAGTTGTCCAGTCTAATGGCCTGCTGTGTGAGTTGTCCAGTCTAATGGCCTGCTCTGTGTTTCAGGGCCCCCAGTGCATCAAGGTACTCACCTACAGTGGATGGAACCCGCCTCCGGGGAATCGACGGATGCATGGTGAGCGCAGGACATTCTCAATGTCATCCCGTTATAACCAACCAACCTGAATTCAGTTCTTGCAAACTAAATGAGTATCAGTGACCTGGCAGAGTGTGTGTCATTATACCCTGTCAGTGAGGACCCTCACAGATTCCAGGTTAGAACTGGTCCCTAGCTGCTCATGTAAGAGGCGAACCAATGAACTAGGTGGACAAGCCCTCAGACTTTATTGATTGCATGTCAATGTACCCAGGACCCGTGAAGATCCGGGGTAGAATGGTCTTCAGCAACCCATGTTAGCCATAAAAGGTGACTTTGCTTGTGCAAGAGGCGACTCACAGGATCGGATTGTCAGGCTCACTGAGTTGGTTGATGCATGTCCAATTGCGTGGATTGATGCTCATGTTCTCAATTACTGGGTTGCCTGGCCCAGACTCGATTATTTACAGACCCGACGTCATATAGCTGGAATATTGCTGAGTGCGATGTTAAACAACAAGCAAACATTTCGTATGCTGTCATCCACGGGCCGCTGGGATGTAGCTTGAATATAGGTGACAGAGGGCAGTGTTCCCTCACTCACCCCAAGGGAAGCCTGGAGGCTGTCAGCATCATTGTATTCCGTGATAGTTGTCGGAGAGTTGAGGTAGCTGGAATATAGGTGACAGAGGGCAGTGTTCCCTCACTCACCCCAAGGGAAGCCTGGAGGCTGTCAGCATCATTGTATTCCGTGATAGTTGTCGGAGAGTTGAGGTAGCCTCGTGGTTGTAGCGTTGCCTCGCGGCTTGCCACTCCCGAGTCTCCTCCATCCACGTGTGCAGCCAGTGTGTGAGGTCTGGTGTCCCCAAAGACATGACATAAGACCCTTCTCAGTGTTCCCGCTGGCTTTTGAAACTGCTAGTCCTTGTGGACTGGCAACTCTAAAAGTTACTCCTAATTTTACCGGTAAGAAACTGGTAATTACCGGCAAACGGGAACGCTACTTCTCACTCACCATGCAACTGCTGACTTAACTAATGCTTATTTGCTTCACACCAGTTAATGCTCACGATAATACTGTAATAATTGTTAAAACCACAATAAGTGCATTTCTGATGAATGAATCGTGAGTAAACCCCCTTCACGAAGTGTGTCTGTTGGACAGGTGATCTGCTCTACTTGTATGTGGTGACCTTGGAGGAGAAGAAATATCACATCACAGCCTCAACCCGGGGCTTCTTCCTCAACCAGTGAGTACACCTTGTCATGTGACCCTGTCCTGGTCATGTGACCATCCTGGCATGCGTTCAATAGGCCGAGGCGCTTTCTGAGCGCTTACTTAGCGCTCTTTCTGCGGACGTTCGGGTGCAATCGAACGATGTGTCAACTGCCGCCGGCTGAGGGCGCGGTTTTCAAAATGGCATAATTTAGCAATATTGTTGAACATTGTGTATATAAAGTTTTATTGTTTAGATATTGAAAGATACGATAAACTTACCGTTAGTTAGATGGTCACTGATTAGATAACACAACTTTATTTTATGGCATTATCGTGATATATGTCGGACCAAACTCTTGTAATCCTACCGACTTATTTAACATAGGAAAATAAAAATATAGACTGTGATTGTGTTGATTCGATGCTGATTTGCGTACAGCCAAATGTCAGTGACACTTGACACTGTGTGAGATTTCGCAGTTCGCTGCACAAGTCACTAATAAGTGGTGGATGGGCCTTGTCGGTGATCCGATATCAGTTCGCTATATCCGTTAGTTCGCTGTAGAGAGTTCGTTATGTACGTAAATTTTATATGATAATATAAAGGAGATAAATCGGGGATTTTGTAACAGTTCGTTATATCCGTTTGTATGCATCGTGTAAGATTCAACTAAATGGATCGGTGACTTGGTGGATTGTGTTTTGTTGTACCCCGCCAATCGTTACCACCTGAATGCCCCGACGGCACAGGAAGTTGTCTAAATCAACCACTGATAAAGTTGTTAAGGACAAAATTGATTATTTACAGGCTGCCCTGATATTGCTGGAATACTGTAGACTGCAGTAAAAATGAACAAATCGCAATGTTTTAGATTTATTTAAGAGAAGACAGACTCCTATGAAAATATCTGAAGTTACGTTTTCGACAAGTGAAGGTTTATACCGCATAATAATATATGTCAATTGTTTACAAAAAGAAATCATATGAGTGTTATTGGGACAAAACTGCATCTTGTTCAGAAACAGATGCTTGAAAAGGATTTTTTTCTGTGCTGAAATTAACATGGGTTGCAAGGAAAAATACTCCGTGTTGCGAGGGGCTTCAAAATGCTACTAAAACAATAGGGTTTTCCTGGTTTGGACAAGTGACAAATCTTCCAATAAATGTTATCTCCAACGTGGTCGTATCAAACTTCACCACTGAGTGCTTGTATGTCTTACAAGTTGTTCCATGTCGAAAAGCTAATGTTCACAGGCCCCGCATTTGTCCAAGTCCGCCATCTTTGTCCCTTGGCGTGCCTCCTTCTCAGTGTGCTCGGAGGCGCTGGAAAGCGCTCTCAGCATGCATTTCGTTCATTTGGAAATATTCTGAGGTGCTCGCTGGCGCCTCGGCACCAAACGGCTTATTGAAGGCACTGGTCTGGTCATGTACCATGTGTCCTGGTCATGTACCATGTGTCTTGGTCATGTGACCATGTGTCCTTGTGTCCTCCAAAATACATTTTTTATTTTTGCCTGCCAGGCCTTAAAGGTCACTCAATTTGGTATCCTGGATAAATGCCTAGCTGATTCATAGAAAAGTCGTTGAATCCTCCAAAGCTGACCCAGAGGAGTTCACTGACATTGGGATATTCTTGCAGATCCACCGAGGATGACTTCAACCCGAAAGCTGCCCAGCCTAAATATCTCTCCCACTCTCTCATCGATCTTCTCAACCAGGTCAGTGGTACCATTGTAACACGATCTCTGGTCAGTGAGACTAGATACTACACTGCCATTGCTATCATTAATAACTATCAACATGACAAAAATGGTTTTGCGGCAAGCGAAAAAGATGTATTATGTTAAATTTGAACGAATATACTAGTAAATACGTATTGATGCTTCATCCAATAAACTTCTTTCACTTTTCCCAGCACTAACATGTTCTCTATTTTCAGATTAGTCCTGGCTTCAAGAAGAACTTCTCATTGCTGCTGAAGAAGAGAGCCCAGAAACACCCGTTTGAGCGGGTGCCAACTCCGTATCAGGTCTACAGCTGGATGGCTCCCCAGCCCCTGCACCACATCGACTACATCCGTGCCGAGGACGGTCAGTACCTCCCACACTGCCTCCACACTGCCTCCACACTGCCTCCACACTGCCCCCACACTGCCGCCACACTGCCTCCACACTGCCGCCACACTGCCTCCACACTGCCTCCACACTGCCTCCACACTGAGCCACACTGAGCCCACCCTGCCTCCACACTGAGCCCACCCTGCCTCCATACTGAGCCACACTGCCTCCACACTGAGCCACACTGCCTCCACACTGAGCCACACTGCCTCCACACTAAGCCACACTGCCCCCACACTGCCTCCACACTGAGCCACACTGCCTCCACACTGAGCCACACTGCCTCCACACTGAGCCACACTGCCTCCACACTGAGCCACACTGCCTCCACACTGAGCCACACTGCCCCCACACTGCCTCCACACTGAGCCACACTGCCTCCACACTGCCTCCACACTGAGCCACACTGCCTACACACTGCCTCCACACTGAGCCACACTGCCCCCACATTGAGCCACACTGCCCCCACACTGAGCCACAGTGCCTCCACACTGAGCCACACTGCCCCCACACTGCCTCAACACTGACTCCACACTGAGCCACACTGCCTCCACACTGAGCTTTGAAGATGAGGAGCCGACTGAGGATGATGGGGTGTTAGCTGCCTTTGCTCATTTCCCCGTTGATCCAGTCAAGAATTTCTTGTTCTGCTGTTGAACTCAGCTGCCATTTTGGTTTGAGAAGGAAACGACCTCAGTCAGCGATTGGTTCAATTGCAAGTAGCTGAAAGTTAGCGCCCCGTTGTAAGGCAAATCGCTGTACACCCCTTGCAAGCGATTGGCGCTTTGTGACTGACCCCAGTATTGCCCCAGCTGTTTTCCACCTGCATTTGTCATCAGCATTACCCTGCTGTTATTAGTCGTATTGCCCTGCTGTTATCGGTCGTATTGCCCTGCTGTTATCGGTCGTATTGCCCTGCTGTTGCCCATAGTCCCAGCTGTTATCCCCGTATTTATCTGCTGTTGTCACTGTGCCCTCCTCCTTGTTGCAGCCTTCTCCACTCGTCTGGGGTACGAGGAACACATCCCTGGCCAAACCCGGGACTGGAACGAGGAGATACAGACCACCAGGGAGCTGTCCCGGAAGAATCTGCCGGAGAGACTCATCCGGGAGAGAGCCATCTTCAAGGTGGGACCCCCCTTCTTTCTCACCAACCCATGCTTGCCGTAAGAGTCGACTATGCATTGCTATGCTTGTCGTAAAAGGCTACTATGCCTGTCGTAACAGGTGATTATGCCTGTCGTAAGAGGTGACTATGCTTGTCGTAAAAGGCTACTATGCTTGCCGTAACAGGTGATTATGCCTGTCGTAAGAGGTGACTATGCCTGTCTGAGATGTGACTGCCTGTCGTAAAAGGAAACTAACAGGATCGGGTGGTCAGGCTCGCTGACTTGGTTCGTGCGTGTCATCGTATCCCCAATTGCCTGGATTGATGTTTATGATGTCAATCACTGTATTGTCTGGTCCAGACTCGATTATTTACAGACCGCCATCATTTAGCTGGAATATTCCTGAGTGCAGCTAAAACAACAAACAAACAAACAAACAAACCAAAATTATAGAGGCTTCGTAGCTTCAGCCTGTGTGGATGGGTTCTTACAAGCAGCTGCCACAAAGCTGGAATACTGCTGATTGTGGCATTAAACAACAATCAGACATGAGGTTCATACCCCAATCAGTTATTTACGTCTTGAGTACTGTGTTTGACATGAGTACCATCAGACTGATGTTTGATACGTGTCCTGTGAGACAAGTGTTTGAAATGTGTGTTTGAAACGTGTTTGAGATGTGTGTTTTCATTCCCCAGGTTCACAGTGACTTTGTCGCAGCTGCTACTCGGGGCGCAATGGCCGTCATCGATGGAAATGTCATGGCCATCAACCCAGGAGAGGAGGCAAAGTAAGACAGGACTCCTTCCTAGACTTAGCAGGTTAAACTTCACTCGGAAAACTGAATACTTTATGTCAAAGCATTGAACCTTATTCATTATTTGTTCTCTTCATCACCCTTCCACCCACCTTACCCAGTTCTCCATTAAACCCCAAACCTACCACCAACCATGCCCCACCACACCACGCCACGCCACGCCACGCCACACCACACCACACCACACACCACCACGCACACCACGCACACCACACCACACCACCACACACACCACCACACACACCACCCCACCCCACCCCATACCCCACTCCTTCCCACCCCACACCACCCCACACACCACACACCACCCCATCCCAGGTCTTGTATGGATCACTGTAGATGCATGTGTTTCTGTTTTCCAGGATGCAGATGTTCATCTGGAACAACATTTTCTTCAGTCTGGGTTTTGATGTCAAGGACCACTACAAGGACTTCGGGGGCGACGCTGCTGCCTATGCAGCTCCTGTAAGTCAGAGTTGTCTCCCTTCACTCTCCACCCACCAGTAGTCTTAGCCACTACGCGATTTTGTCATAGTCTTGCATGGAGAACACTGTTAATCAGGGTTATCATTGGAGCTTTTTTCATTATTATTTAATTGTATTGCAATAGTTCCCCAGTAAATGTCCCAACAATGTCAAAGACGGCATTTTCCTCCCTGTCGTTACTTATACCTAATGGAAGTGACCGTTATCTAAAGTTGTCATAATCCTTGCTTATGAACAAACGGCAGGTTTGAAATTTGCATAATTTGTTTATTTTATAACAAATAGCAACTATTCGTTACGTATACTATCGACAATACTATTTGCATGTGTCGATTCCTATCTTTATGGTACAATCGTAAGGCAAACAGTTGCAATACAACGCTAGTTTGATGTATCGTTACACTCCTACAGTTAATGTAACATTGTGCAGATGATTGAGATTGTAATCATCTCAAAGTTTTTCTTACCAAATTAATATATATTCTGTTGCTATAGTTACATCCGTGTGTTTATTCAGGGCAGTGACCTGCAGGGGGTGAAGGCGTACTTCGGCATCGACCCCGAGAGTCTGTACACGCTGGGCACGGTGGTGATCGACTACAAGGGCTACCGCGTCACGGCGCAGTCCATCATTCCGGGGATCCTGGAGCGGGAACAGGAACAATCCGTCGTGTATGGCTCCGTCGACTTCGGCAAAACGGTCGTCACAAGTGAAAAATACAGGGAGCTGGTTAGTGCGAAGTGTTTAATTTCCAGTGTTTAACAAAGTCAGAAATTTCGAATTCGTGCCCAGCAGTCTATACTGGTTGTAAGGGGTAACCAAATGGATCAAGTGGCCAGACTAGGTCAAGCTTTGCTCATAATATCAATCACTGAATTGTCTGGTCCAGGCTGGATTATTACAGACTGCCAACATATGACTTGAATATTGCTGAGTGCAACGTCACCAACAACATGTGAAAGCCAGTTGAGAAGGAAGGAATTATTCTGTGAAATTTAAACATGGACTTGTCATTGATCTAAACCTTTGTGTATTGCATCATGTTGTAGTGGTAAAAGCCATCTTGTCTTGTGAAGCCTGAGTAGGAGCGTCTTTAACATACACAGTAGCAGGTCAGCAGGAGATTGAGGCTGTTTTAAGCTCTTCCGTGAATTTCCAGAAGTAAAAGGGGCGGTTGGGTAGCCTAGTGGTTAAAGCGTTCACTCGTCAAGCCGAAGACCTGGGTTCGATTCCCGACATGGGTACATTGTGCGAAGCCCATTTCCGGTGTCCCCCGCCGTGATATTGCTGGAATATTGCTAAAAGCGGCGTAAAACCATACTCACTCACCCACTCCAGAAGTAAAAGCAAACCTGCCAAACTGAAAATTTGACCCAGCTTGCTCTTAAGCAGTTCTAAATCATTTGAATATATTCAGTGTTCCCGCTGGCTTTTGAAACTGCCAGTCCTAGTGGACTGGCAACTCAAAATATTACCAGTTCCCCTAATTTTTGCCAGTCCCCCCTTTAAATTTTTTTTTAAAAAATATGAAAATTATTTGGTTTTAATTCTTTCAACATCATGTTCAGTGCAAAGATGTCATCTCTGAAGTAACATAGTCAGATCTATACGTCATTCACACAAACTTCAGTCACAAATTTCTCTTCTCGTCAATATCTTAAGACGAAGTCGCTACAAATGGATATTTAACCTAGAAATAGACAAGGGGAAGCCCTGATGGTAACAGACAAGTTGAAATGTTCTTAAAGGAATATCACCAATGTTTTGTTCAACAACAAAGATTTATAAGGTACTTTATTTGCCTGTCCACAGGGACTGGCAGTCACATGAATTACCGGTCCAAGCCTAATTTTACCGGTAAAAAACTGGTAATTACCGGTAAACGGGAACGCTGTATATTTTCTTCCAATCCGGAAATTTTGTGAATTGTTTTTCATGGTGCACCAACAATCTGAAATGTATGCGTCAACTTCCAAGGTTACAGAAACATGAACATGACAGGTTGAACACACAAGCAGCTCCCATCATGCAACAGTGAATACATTGTTATTACTAATGGTAGTTCCCTGTAGGGATTTCACTAATGTCCCCAGCAACCTGGGATGGTCATGGAGGTGATGGAAAGGATCCGGTGGTCGGGCCTGATGACCTGGTTGTGTGTGTGTCATTGTACCCCGACGCCGTGGATCGTTGCTCACAATATCGATCATTGGATTGTCTTGTCCAGACTTGATCATTCATTGGCTGCTCAGCGTTAAAAATTGGCACTAGTCCTGTAGTCCTTACCAAACTGCCCAAAAGTAAATGTATCCTAAGGACTAGTAGAAATTGGCCCATTTTAAGGGTTTTGCTATATGTTATCATTATAAGGACTAGTGGACAAAAACTGTTAGTTTCTAACCCTGTTGCTGAGTGCGGCATTAAACAACAAAAAAAACAAGCTAATATTAGTATTGCAGTTTATGTGTGGAGTGTATGAATAACAAATTAATTTCAATTTCAGTTGCAAAAGACAGCAACTCAACTCAAAGTCCGCCCTCACAAGTAAGTTCTTAATTACAAAACTTGTTTTGATATAAAATATTGATGATTGTAATGCAGTTGATAGTGTTGTATCATCAAGCAGTTCCAGTTTAGATGTTAGGCACCCAGCTCAGGCTAGCGGGCAGCTCCAGAAAGTTGGATTAAAGTCTTGTAATGTTACTTTGCATAATGGCCATATGAAGAGTCTCAGAGTTAATGTCAGCCCTAGTTACACAGAAATGGTCTCACACATGGCATTCATTGCTACATCTAGACGGGATATTGCTGGAATATCACTAAAACCATACCCACTCACTATAACACTTGGGGGATCCTGCTTGGAATTGATCCCCAGCAACCTATGCTTGTCATAGGAGGCAACGGACTGTATCGGGATCAGGCTAACCTGCAATATTTTGTGTATTATTACAAAAAACAAAAAAACAAATCATTTAGCAGGAATCATCAGTTTAAGAATGTTTGAAGTCAGAATGTAAGATAGGGAAGTTCTCTGGCTTGTTTTGTTTTTCTTGCTGTCTGAGAACTGGAATATCACAAAACTGCTGAGAAAAACTATAAAAAAATGTTCTTTCTGCCGGCAGGGTGCTCAACAACAAGGAAGAAGAAATCGAGTTGTTTTCCTCCATAGAGTGCAAGGGCATTGTGGGTAATGACCAGCGGCACTACGTGCTGGACCTCCTGCGAACCTTTCCTCCCGATGCCAACTTCCTGCCAGGTACGTCCCTCGTCACCAGGTGATGACCAGAATAGTCAGACTCTCTCACTGCCAGGTACGTCCATCGTCACCAGGTGATGACCGGAATAGTCAGACTCACTCACTGCCAGGTACGTCCCTCGTCACCAGATGATGACCGGAATAGTCAGACTCACTCACTGCCAGGTACGTCCCTCGTCACCAGATGATGACCGGAATAGTCAGACTCTCTCACTGCCAGGTACGTCCATCGTCACCAGGTGATGACCGGAATAGTCAGACTCTCTCACTGCCAGGTACGTCCATCGTCACCAGGTGATGACCGGAATAGTCAGACTCTCATGTAAAGATGGGGTGAGACAATTCACTGACATTAAAACCCTTTTTAATAATATTATATGCAATTACCACAGCATGCTTTTAAGCAAATCAGAAGCTAACAATTGAGTTTGTTATTTTGACAGTTAATGAGATGATTGTGTTTCTAGTTGAGATGATTGTGTTTCTAGTTGAGTTGATGAGATGATTGTTTCTAGTTGAGATGATTGTGTTTCTAGTTAAGATGATTGTGTTTCTAGTTGAAATGATTGTGTTTCTAGTTGAGTTGATGAGATGATTGTGATTCTAGTTGAGATGATTGTGTTTCTAGTTGAGGAGTTGATGAGATGATTGTGTTTCTAGTTGAGATGATTGTGTTTCTAGTTGAGATGATGAGATGATTGTGTTTCTAGTTGAGATGATGAGATGATTGTGTTTCTAGTTGAGGAGTTGATGAGATGATTGTGTTTCTAGTTGAGATGATTGTGTTTCTAGTTGAGATGATGAGATGATTGTGTTTCTAGTTGAGGAGATGATTGTGTTTCTAGTTGAGATGATTGTGTTTCTAGTTGAGGAGTTGAGGAGATGATTGTGTTTCTAGTTGAGATGATGAGATGATTGTATTTCTAGTTGAGGAGATGATTGTGTTTCTAGTTGAGGAGTTGATATGATGATTGTGTTTCTAGTTGAGGAGTTGATATGATGATTGTGTTTCTAGTTGAGGAGTTGATGAGATGATTGTGTTTCTAGTTGAGTTGATGAGATGATTGTGTTTCTAGTTGAGGAGTTGAGCAAGGACATGAAGGACCATGGTTACCCCCGGGATCATCGGCACAAGTTGGCCTGTCTCAGACAGGAGCTCATCGAGGCCTTCGTGGAGTAAGTAGAACCACTGAGACCGCTGAAACACGCTGGTACACTTGTCTGATATTTAGTGCTGTTATAAGGTGACTTTCAACCTGAAACAGAGTTTAACCCATGATTAGATACATACTATATTTTGAAATCGGTAAATGACAACTGAACAATCAATGATCTCGTAACTTGTCCTGCATTACTCCTTAATACATTTACTTCTGGACAATTTATTGATGAAACATGTCTGTCTGGTGGCAAGCAGTAATGTGAAATATACGTGACATCATCACTTCCGTGGTCATGCGGGTCCTGCTTCAAACTGGTTGGAACCACATTTTATTCAGTTTCTGTCAAAAATGCATTTAGGAGTAATACAGAATAAGTATACAAATGTAAAAAATATTTAGATTTTACTAAAATTATATTGAAACACACAGCTTTAGGTTTACCATGAAACAAGACAATACAATGGGTCGGAGGTGGCAGCAGCAATAAATAACAGGCCCTTGAGTTACTGTAAGTGCACTCACAAATGTTTAGACTCTTGCTATTATGGTTTTAGAAACAGATACGTGGCGTTTGTCCGACATGCAGCGTTCCAGTTTCAACAGCTGCAGCTGCTCAAACAGAACAAGGTCAAGGACACGGACAACAAGGTCAAGGATGCAGACAGCAAGGTCAAGGATGCAGACAGCAAGGTCAAGGACACAGACAACAAAGAGATTGAGAAGGAGGCTGAGAAGGCAGTGGTACACATCAAGGTGAGATATCAGACAAAGGTTGTTGCAGTGGACACATTATGAGAGGGAATACTTTCCCATCCAGGATACTTCCGGCGTCTTCCCCCGTGTGGAGTCCTGGTCACAATCCTCCCAGGACCCTGTTCCACAAACAGATCTTTACTCCCATGCTTTGACACAGTGTTCGCCGGGAGAGCAGAAGGTTGGGGTTCGATCCCCAACTGCATCATACCAAAAGACGTGAAAAGATGGTACTTGTTGTTACCCTACCTGGAACTCGGCATAAGGGGCTAAAACAACAAGAACTGGTAGGCTCTGAGTCAGTATACTGGGGTATTCATGTAACACTGCGGCATTGTTTCTCACTGGGCTAGCACTATAAAATCAGCATCAGTCTGGACTAGTCCAACCAGCCACACACACAGATGCATGCATGTCGTTATTTAAGTGCAACAATCTTGAACGCGAGTTATACCCCATTTCACCTTACCTTCATCATACCCTGATGTTCATAGTATCAACCACTGGTTTGATAAAGGCGTGATTATTTACAGGCCACAGTGATATGGCTTGAAGTTAGTTGACTGCTGCGTAAAATAACATAGAAATATAGAGAGGTTATCATGCGAGTGTATTTGGGGATGGTAAATATCCTGCATTAGGAATAAACATATTTGGCGAGCCTTCTTTAATTTCCCTCTCTCACAAACATTACCAAAACATTGCTAGTTTTCCTGGAATGCGCGTATTAATATTTATTACGTCACATGGTAAGTGATGTGTCAGTCGGACAGTGATAGTAGCCAATATAGTTCTAACTGAAATCTGTTTCTTTTACAGTGGCGAAGCAACATATACACAAAACAACAATTGTTTTTACTTGCATTTCGCGGCAATCCATCAGTCTGTCCGCTAGAGTAACTGCCCTTTGTCAAAGGGAAGCTACTCTAACCCTAGTCCATGAGACGTCACGGCCACGTTCAGACGTTGTTGACTTTGGCCTGTCTTGTCCTAACGTTAAGAAGTGCAGACAGATGTACACACAGCGACAAAATGAAACAAGATAACAATTCGAACATATTTTGGCCAAATCCAACTATTTTAATTTGTGGAAAAGGTTTCAAGCCGCAGAGGTCTACAAGCACAGATGTGGCTACTGATCCTAGTGGCTAGTCCTAGTGCCCTCACAAAATTGTTTCAAAATTTATATCACCAAAGTTGCCAAAACTTATAAAATGCCTGAGCTACATTACAATTAGACACTGATTTTCAGTATATTAGACTGTTCTTTTAATAATGATGGCAATTATCCCTGTAGTTTATACAGGTTCCTGATGGTTAATTCTGAATCAATCGCCGAATGACAAGGGCTACACCATGTTTGTTTGTAAACAGTAAAGTAGTCGCTACTTGACCTTTGATATTTGCATCTCTATCCGCATATTGTTTTATCTGTTGGCTTTATCCTGCCGAGAAACCTACCCATTATATGATAAAGGGTTTTATGTGCTTTGTCCAGTCCCCTGAGAAGTTGGTGAATGGTGGCAGTGGCGACGAAACAGTACAGACAGCGCAGGCGCAGCTGGAGAATGACATCGCCACGGAGGAAGCCAAGAAGATCGTTGAGACCCTGACAGGGACAGACAGTCAGACATGTGAGTTGCCATGGTTACTGCTTGTCCTAGTGATAGCATACTTGCAGTCTGCGACTTTAGTCCAAAGCTGGAGTTTAGTCTTGTAAGATCATCTTATGCTAGTCCATGTGTTGAGGTCGCTATTTTTCCGAGATATTGTCAATACAACATTAAAGAATATATCATAAGACTGAACATAATGCAAAATATAAGTTCAGATCTGTAGACAAGTATTTGGAACAGACGGTACTTGCAGTGAAGGTCAAACTGTACTTGCAGTGAAGGTCAAACCGTACTTGCAGTGAAGGTCAAACTGTGCTTGCAGTGAAGGTCAAACCGTGCTTGCAGTGAAGGTCAAACCGTGCTTGCAGTGAAGGTCAAACTGTGCTTGCAATGAAGGTTAAACGGTACTTGCAGTGAAGGTCAAACCGTACTTGCAGTGAAGGTCAAACCGTACTTGCAGTGAAGGTCAAACTGTGCTTGCAGTGAAGGTCAAACTGTGCTTGCAGTGAAGGTCAAACTGTGCTTGCAGTGAAGGTCAAACCGTACTTGCAGTGAAGGTCAAACCGTACTTGCAGTGAAGGTCAATCATAGACAAGTACAGCTGAGGCACAAGGACAAACTCAGAGAGGCTGAGTTGAGTTTATTTTATGCATCATAACTTTTCGACTAGCCATGAACTGCCTTCTCTTCTACAGTTGAGGAGAACACAAAGGATATTGTGAAGAAGGCGGGTAAAGCGGTGGGCTCTCTCAGCGACACCGAGTTTAACATGACCTTCAACCCAGACGTGTTCCAGCCTCATGTTCAACACGCAGACCCAGAGGTAAGAGTTGTCTCCCCTGTCATATCTTCACTAACAAAGCAGAGTACACTCCTAGAATACATCCATGCATCGAAGACCCAGGTTCTATTCCCCACATGGGTACAATGTATGAAGCCCATTTCTGGTGACCACGCCATGATATTGCTTGAATATTGCTAAAAGTAGCGTAAAACAATACTCACTCACTTTTTCAGCTACAGTGAGTTTACCATGAAAGTCAACCCAGGTGTATCACAATATAGATTTCTTTTTGTAAGGGCCTTTGGGGTAGTCTTGTTGTTTAAAGTGTTCGCTGATCACAGCAAAGGTCAAGTTCGATTGCCCAGATGGATACAGTTGTGTGTGTAGTCACCAGCAACCAACGCTTGTCGTAACAGGCAGTTTAACGGATCCGGTGGTCAATCGGCGATTTGGTTGATGGCTTGTCAACGTACGCAACGGTGTCGATTGTTGCTCAAGATATCAATCATGGAATTGTCTTGTACAGACTTGATTATTTACAGGCTGCCATCAAGTATCTGACATACTGCTAAGTGCCATGTTAATCAACAGACAAACAACAGCGGGAAGGTTTCTGGGATGTAAACTCCCCAGTTTTCACTTTCTGTTGTAGAGCGAGACGTTGAAGAGAGAGAAGCAGTTAGTGAAGGATGCAGCCGAGTTCCTCGTTTTACACCAAATACCAACACTCGTGAGTAGAAGTCCCACCTTGAAGTGGCACATACAGTAAATCTTGAAATTAATGTGTCTCCAAATTAATACGACTGCTGACCCCTAGCCATAATGCCACTGAAAATCAATGCGCCTCCCTCACCAAATCCAGTAGAATGATACAATTGTTCTGTCCTTCATCCAATCAAACAGCAAATACATGTAGTACTTCTTATTAGCACTGAGTAAAGCACTTCCGTAATAACAATAAACACTGTTTTCCTGAAAACAACACACAGTTTATATGTTTATTCTGTTGACTGGCATTATGGAAGTTCAATGGCAATTAAATTAAAACAACAACAGTTCCCTGATTGGAATGGTCAATGATGCCTAGTTTGACACGAGTGGGTAGAACTCTTGACCCCAGCAGTAGTAACTAACCGGATTCGCATTGTGTAATTCCTATACTTTAAATGACATTGTTATGGACTTGTTACAACTGCTGCTCAATAAACAGTGTTTGTGTATATATTCAAGTTGGTATTTCCGCTATTCAAAACGTCATTGATCCAAATTGCGTGGATTGATGCTCATGATGTCAATCACTGGATGGTCTGGTCCAGACTCTATTATTTACAGACCGCCGTCATATAGCTGGAATATTGCTGAGTGCGGCATTAAACAACAAACAAACCAAACCAAACCGCTATCCAAAGTGTGCAGTGCAGTCATTTTGGAGACATGAATGCTAAGTTTCATTGATGCGAACAAAGACCACTCACATTTTTTCTGTCCTTGTTTGTGCATAGAAAGTACTTAATAAATAGAAGCATGTTTCCTTTCAGATCAATGACTGTCTTGACCACACCTCTTCCCCCATCGATGGCCTTACTCTCACGGAGGCCATGCATAACAGGTAAGGCCCACAGACACCCTGTATTGATGCTACCGGTAGAACTGGTCTGCACTTGCACTGATTTTAAAGACAATAACTTGTAATTCCTGTGACTGCCATATCACCTCGTCAAAGCAAGTCCCCTGTTACAACCAATGAACAGTTTTCAGGACTCGAAACCACCTATTGATCAGCTGTCCAATTTTGGGCATTGCACATTTTTCGTCACTTTTTAATCCTGACATTGCTATGATTCCAGGGGTATCAATATGCGGTACCTTGGCAAGGTTGCTGAGATGTTCTCCAAATACTCGTCTGTTTCTTATGTATATGTAAGTATATGGGTTTTCTTGATTCAAGATTTAGTCGCGGGTCTGAATGGTGTGCATGTCAAACAGCTGTATCTGCGTGGACATTCGAATCCCGGTTCGCCCCGATTATGTTTCTAGGTTTGTCAGCACCATACCCGTGCTCGTGGGTTTCACCGAAGTGGTAAACGTCTGAGACCTGCATCACTTCGGGCTTTCCTCCCACATTAAGCTGACACGCCGCGATATAACTGGAATACTGTTAAAAGCGGCGTAAAACCCAACTCACTCACTCACTCACTGCGTGGACTTGTAGTATAAAAAGACATGAATCCGGAACAGGCCAACCCATCCATCCACACCACATGCGTGCTTGCTCTTATAAGTACATTAATCTTAAATGCAAATTAAACCCCATTTCACCTCAACTCTTGATTTAAGGTCATAAGTTTTCTGAATTTTACACTGGGGCGGTCGGGTAGCCTAGTTGTTAAAGCGTTCGCTCGTCACGCCGAAGACCCGGATTCGATTCCCGACATGGTTACAATGTGTGAAGCCCATTTCTGGAGTCCCCCGCCGTGATATTTCTGGAATATTGCTAAAAGCGGCGTAAAACCATACTCACTCACTCACTCACTGAATTCTACACTTGGTATTTCAGTGTTTATCTTGGTTCTCCAACAGTGGGAGAAAAAAGCACATTACTCTGTCAGAAATGTATTAGAATGTTTTACGTTGTGTTCACTACCCTATGTCAAGCTAAGGATTAAGGCCATAGTTACTGGTCCTGTTGTCGGTCAAATACACAAACCTCAGTTGCCATGGTAATGATCACCTGAATGGTAAGCTTTTAATTTTAATTTGGGAATTTTTGTTGATTGATGTTACAGATATCGTCCTCTTAGAATCTTAATCTCTGTGTTCATTCTCTCGCAGAGTATAGCCGTGGGTGAGCTGATTAACCGCGCCATCAAGCACCTGTTCAAGACGTACATGCAGGGCGTGGACATGATGAGTCTGTCGGCCGCCATCAGTCACTTCCTCAACTGCTACCTGGGATCTTACTCCACCCCCCACGCTCAGGTCACCCCCGAGGAGGTAATCACACACTCACAAACTCACTCACTCACCACACTCACTCACTCACCACACTCACTCACCACTCTCATCTCACTCACACTCACTCACTCACCCAACTCACTCACAAACACTCACTCACACCACACTCACTCACTCACAAACACTCACTCACTCACCCCACTCACTCACCCCACTCACTCCACTCACTCACACCACACTCACTCACTCACTCACAAACACTCACCACACTCACCACACTCACTCACCTCTCTCACAAACACTCAACACACTCAACACACTCACTCACTTAAGTGGGGAGGTCAGATAGCCTAGAGGTTAAAGCGTTCGCTCGTCATGCCGAAGACCCGGGTTTGATTCCCGACATGGGTACAATATGTGAAGCCCATTCCTGGTGTCCCCGGCCGTGATACTGCTGGATTATTGCTAAAAGCAGCTTACAACCATACTCACTCACTCAATACGCACGCACGCACTCACTCACTCGTGCACGCACTCACTCACTCACTAACCACACTCAGCACACTCACTCACTCACTCACTCACTCACTTGTTCTTCAGCTTCAGAGCAAAACTGCCAAGAGGAAAAGCAAGAAGAAGAACAAACAGAGCACAGTATTCAGTATTGGTGAGTCATGACTTCCCTCGTTCACTCAGTGTTGTCTCCTTCCTCTCAGAAACACTTCCAGCAGTAGAGCTGCCACCCTATTGTACTGTGCACTTCCAGCAGTAGAGCTGCCACCCTATTGTACTGTGCACTTCCAGCAGTAGAGCTGCCACCCTATTGTACTGTCCACTTCCAGCAGTAGAGCTGCCACCCTATTGTACTGTGCACTTCCAGCAGTAGAGCTGCCACCCTATTGTACTGTGCACTTCCAGCAGTAGAGCTGCCACCCTATTGTACTGTGCACTTCCAGCAGTAGAGCTGCCACCCTATTGTACTGTACACTTCCAGCAGTAGAGCTGCCACCCTATTGTACTGTGCACTTCCAGCAGTAGAGCTGCCACCCTATTGTACTGTGCACTTCCAGCAGTAGAGCTGCCACCCTATTGTACTGTGCACTTCCAGCAGTAGAGCTGCCACCCTATTGTACTGTGCACTTCCAGCAGTAGAGCTGCCACCCTATTGTACTGTGCACTTCCAGCAGTAGAGCTGCCACCCTATTGTACTGTACACTTCCAGCAGTAGAGCTGCCACCCTATTGTACTGTACACTTCCAGCAGTAGAGCTGCCACCCTATTGTACTGTGCACTTCCAGCAGTAGAGCTGCCACCCTATTGTACTGTGCACTTCCAGCAGTAGAGCTGCCACCCTATTGTACTGTCCACTTCCAGCAGTAGAGCTGCCACCCTATTGTACTGTGCACTTCCAGCAGTAGAGCTGCCACCCTATTGTACTGTGCACTTCCAGCAGTAGAGCTGCCACCCTATTGTACTGTGCACTTCCAGCAGTAGAGCTGCCACCCTATTGTACTGTGCACTTCCAGCAGTAGAGCTGCCACCCTATTGTACTGTGCACTTCCAGCAGTAGAGCTGCCACCCTATTGTACTGTGCACTTCCAGCAGTAGAGCTGCCACCCTATTGTACTGTGCACTTCCAGCAGTAGAGCTGCCACCCTATTGTACTGTGCACTTTCAGCAGTAGAGCTGCCACCCTATTGTACTGTGCACTTCCAGCAGTAGAGCTGCCACCCTATTGTACTGTGCACTTCCAGCAGTAGAGCTGCCACCCTATTGTACTGTGCAAGTCACATTGCCTAACATGACCACCATGTGTCATGTTTCTTGTATTTATTCATGACTTGTTGGATCTACTTCTACTGAAGTTAATCGGGTGATCTATGTACGTCCGATATTTTCAGACAACACAGAGTGGCTGTCGGAGACGCCAAAAACCCTGTGGAAGAAGATTGTTGATGAAGTTGATGAATATTATGGCTACGCTTTGGAATGGTAAGTCTCTGGAAGCGTGGAACAGTGTCTAAATGTTCACCCGGCCACGTTGCCTGAGTCCTCTGATGCATCAAGCCGTCAGCTCGTTGACTCCCGGGGTGGTTCTGGGATGGCCCCCAGCAATGTGAGAGAGAGTGAGGGAAAATATTCAAGCAATATCACGGCGGGGGACACCAGAAATGAGCTTCACACATTGTATTTATGTGGGGAACCGAACCCGGGCCTTTGGCGTGACGAGCGAACGCTTTAACCACTAGGCTTCCCCACTGATACACCTTTTGTTGTAAGAGGTGGTTTGATGGATCATGTAGTCAGATTAAGTGACTTGGTTGAATGTATGTCATTTTACCTTGATGGATAAGTGCTCAGAATATCAATCACTGGTTTGTCTGGTCCTGACTCTTGAATATTTGTGAATGGCATTTAACAAAAGGTCCAAAATGGTGGTGGTGTAGATGCCGGTTCCTTGTAAATCATGAGAATGGTCTTGGTTTGAACCCAATATCTGAGTTGGATGAGGCTCGGAGATTGCTAAATTCAAACCACTAAGCATACCCCTTACTATAAATATTGTCCATCTTATTTGACCAGGTTCAGGGCAGGATAATCCACCAAGATGACAATGGGGATTGGAAGGTGACAATGGGGATTGGGAGGTGACAATGGGGATTGGGAGGTGACAATGGGGATTGGGAGGTGACAATGGGGATTGGGAGGTGACATTGGGGAATGGGAGATGACAATGGGGATTTGGAGGTGACAATGGGGATTGGAAGGTGACAATGGGGATTGGGAGATGACAATGGGGATTGGGAGATGACAATGGGGATTGGGAGGTGACAATGGGGAATGGAAGGTGACAATGGGGATTGGGAGGTGACATTGGGGATTGGGAGGTGACATTGGGGATTGGGAGGTGACAATGGAGAATGGGAGGTGACAATGGGGATTTGGAGGTGACAAAGGGGATTGGGAGGTGACAATGGGGATTTTGAGGTGACAGTTGGGATTTGGAGGTGTCAATGGGGATTGGAAGGTGACCATGGGGATTGGGAGGTGACATTGGGGATTGGGAGGTGACATTGGGGATTAGGGAGGTGACCATGGGGATTAGGGAGGTGACAAAGGGGATTTGGAGGTGACAATGGGGAATGGAAGGTGACAATGGGGATTGGGAGGTGACCATGGGGATTAGGGAGGTGACACTGGGGATTGGGAGGTGACACTGGGTATTTGGAGGTGACAGTGGGGATTGGAAGGTGACCATGGGGATTAGGGAGGTGACAATGGAGAATGGGAGGTGACAATGGGGATTGGGAGGTGACAATGGGGATTGGGAGGTGACATTGGGGATTAGGGAGGTGACAATGGGGATTGGGAGGTGACAATGGGGATTGGGAGGTGACCATGGGGATTAGGGAGGTGACATTGGGGATTGGGAGGTGACCATGGGGATTGGGAGGTGACAATGGGGATTGGGAGGTGACAATGGGGATTGGGAGGTGACATTGGGGATTAGGGAGGTGACAATGGGGATTGGGAGGTGACAATGGGGATTGGGAGGTGACCATGGGGATTAGGGAGGTGACATTGGGGATTGGGAGGTGACCATGGGGATTGGGAGGTGACACTGGGGATTTGAAGGTGACCATGACAGTTTGGTTTGGCCAACATCAAAGGGAGACCAACTCTGTGGCATGGTGTAACCAATGTTAACTGTATTATTTCATTTTGTTCTGGTCTTTCTCCAACTCTCACAGTTTTTGTTGTGAACGTTACATTACATGACTTGTCTCCCCTTCTGTGCAGTGATTCCGTGGAGTCTGCTACGGAGAAGTACAACCTCAATCGAGCCGCGCTGTTGCGGATGTTGTGTCGCACGTGCGGCGTGCAGATCCTGCTGAGAGAGTACCACCTCGATTCCCGCAACAAACAGATCTTCTATGAGGACGACATCATCAACGCTTTCCCTATCGTCAAACATTTACATCCCAAGGTACGGACACCAGTGTCTTTGACTTTGATAATTCATTCTAAGACTCGTGAGTAGTGAAGGTTGACACCATCATGTCTCGGGTGTAGGTGTGAGGCCAGCTGGTGTGGAAATAAACTCCCCCTCCACAACACTCCCGTTCCCTGAGGGGAAACAAATGAATGCATCTGGGATCCTTCTTCTTGTTCATAAGTGGAATGGAGGCCATGATTATGAACTAGTGAATCAGTAAGCTACCATTCTCAATTACGTCCGCAGGTGCTTGTATCAATGGGACTTGGCTCAAATTCCAACAGTAGAGTCGACCCCTGTTTCAGGACTTCCGAACATGATTGACGTAGCTGTCAACTGTAACAAATTTCTCGTATTTAATATACGAATTTGCAACTAATGTCTCTTCCCTTATTAATACAAATAATACACCAATCTACGGAGAGGGAAAATTTGACCAGAAAAAGATTTCATATTGCGAGGCTATCTTACCTATGTCAATCTGCAGCAAACATCTCTTGTTCATCCTTACTGGTGTTTTGTCTGTCCAGTCCTAAAACTCAACTCTTTGTATCGAAAGTTGCTGTGGCCGAAAGAAAAACTAAGCGACTAAATTATTGACTGAATTTTGGAATCACATGGCTGTATTGACTGCAGACAATTCATTCAGAATATTGTTAGAACATACTGAAATTTGGAAAAGTTGGCAGCTACTGATTAAGAGTTTGTGACTTTGTGTGTTGATGTTAAGATGTTAACAAGCTGATGTTTTCCCCAGGCCACAGACGCCTACCACTTCTTCACGAGCGGCCAGAACAAGATCCAGCAGGGCTTGTTGCGTGAAGGGTACGAGCTGATCAGCGAGGCCCTCAACCTCCTCAACAATGTATACGGGGCCATGCACCCTGAGATTGCCGCCTGTCTTCGCCTCCTGGCGCGACTCAACTACATCATGGGCGAGTACGGAGAGGTCAGTGACTCCACCCACTATAACAATACACTGCCAGTATATAGGGGGGTGGGGGAGTACGGAGAGGTCAGGTACTCCACCCACTGTAACAATACACTGCCAGTACATAGGGGGGTGGGGGAGTATGGAGAGGTCAGTGACTCCACCCACTATAACAATACACTGCCAGTACATAGGGGGGTGGGGGAGGGGGTGAGTACGGAGAGGTCAGTGACTCCACCCACTATAACAATACACTGCCAGTACATAGGGGAGGGGGTGAGTACGGAGAGGTCAGTGACTCCACCCACTATAACAATACACTGGCAGTACATAGGGGGTGGGGGAGTACGGAGAGATCAGTGACTCCACCCACTTAACAATACACTGCCAGTACATATGGGGGGTGGGGGAGTACGGAGAGGGCAGTGACTCCACCCACTGTAACAATACACTGCCAGTACATAGGGGGGGTGGGGGAGTACGGAGAGGTCAGTGACTCAACCCACTATAACAATACACTGCCAGTACATAGGGGGGTGGGGGAGTACGGAGAGGTCAGTGACTCCACCCACTATAACAATACACTGCCAGTACAAAGGGGGGGTGGGGGAGTACGGAGAGGTCAGTGACTCCACCCACTATAACAATACACTGCCAGTATAAGGGGGCGAGTACGGAGAGGTCAGTGACACCACCCACTATAACAATACACTGCCAGTATAAGGGGGCGAGTACGGAGAGGTCAGTGACTCCACCCACTATAACAATACACTGCCAGTATAAGGGGGCGAGTACGGAGAGGTCAGTGACTCCACCCACTATAACAATACACTGCCAGTATAAGGGGGGTGGGGGAGTACGGAGGGGTCAGTGACTCCACCCACTATAACAATACACTGCCAGTACATAGGGGGGTGGGGGAGTACGGAGAGGTCAGTGACTCCACCCACTATAACAATACACTGCCAGTACATAGGGGGGTGGGGGAGTACGGAGAGGTCAGTGACTCCACCCACTATAACAATACACTGCCAGTACATAGGGGAGGGGGTGAGTACGGAGAGATCAGTGACTCCACCCACTATAACAATACACTGGCAGTACAAAGGGGGGGTGGGGGAGTACGGAGAGGTCAGTGACTCCACCCACTATAACAATACACTGCCAGTATAAGGGGGCGAGTACGGAGAGGTCAGTGACACCACCCACTATAACAATACACTGCCAGTATAAGGGGGCGAGTACGGAGAGGTCAGTGACTCCACCCACTGTAACAATACACTGCCAGTACATAGGGGGGTGGGGAAGTACGGAGAGGTCAGTGACTCCATCCACTATAACAATACACTGGCAGTTCATAGGGGGGTGGGGGAGTACGGAGAGGGCAGTAAGGGGTGTGCTGTATATCCTGTATATCCTATGTTATGTGTGACTACTGTTGTTTGTCTCCAGGCGCTGTCATTCCAACAGAGAGCTGTGCTGATGAGTGAGAGGGTGCTGGGGATTGATCACCCAAACACCATCACAGAATATGTAAGTGAAACATTAGGTGATTGTGATGTGTGAATGTCAATGATTGTGATAATTGTAATGTGTGTTTCAATGATTGATGATATTTGTGCGTGTGCTTGGCTAACTGTGATGTAGATGTCTATGATTGGCTAACCGATTGTGATGTACATGTATCTGATTGGCTGACTGATAATGTCTCCCCCAGAATGGAGGGAGACATATTGTTTTTGGCACTGTTTCTGTCGGCGTCGGCGTCTGCGTCAGCGTCGGCGTTCCCACCGTTTCCGGACCATAACTCAGAAACCGTTTAATATTTTTTCGCGAAACTTTGTATACACATTAACCCAGAACTGAAGTGGTGCCTTTTGCTATTTAGAGATTTTTGACATTTTTATTTTTTCTCGTTTCCATGGAGATAACTTGAACATAGGCTATGAATGGGGGTAAGCTTGGTTTCCGGACCATAACTCAGAAACCGTTTAATATTTTTTCGCGAAACTTTGTATACACATTAACCCAGCACTGAAGTGGTGCCCATTAGTTGTTTGAAATTTCTAGGAGTTCTATTTTTGTCTCTGTTATTTAGTAATGGAGGGTGGGAATGAAGAGATGGGGTTTAACGTGAAGTAAACGAATGAATGGGGGTTAGGGGATTGGGGGGAGACATATGTTTTTACGAGTAAAAACACTTTCTAGTTGTACATGTCTCTGATTGGCTGACTGATTGTACATGTCTCTCATTGGCTGACTGATTGTACATGTCTCTCATTGGCTGACTGATTGTACATGTCTCTGATTGGCTGACTGATTGTACATGTCTCTGATTGGCTGACTGATTGTACATGTCTCTGATTGGCTGACTGATTGTACATGTCTCTGATTGGCTGACTGATTGTACTTGTCTCTCATTGGCTGACTGATTGTATATGTCTATGATTGGCTGACTGATTGTACATGTCTCTCATTGGCTGACTGATTGTACTTGTCTCTCATTGGCTGACTGATTGTACATGTCTCTGATTGGCTGACTGATTGTACATGTCTCTGATTGGCTGACTGATTGTACTTGTCTCTCATTGGCTGACTGATTGTATATGTCTATGATTGGCTGACTGATTGTACATGTCTCTGATTGGCTGACTGATTGTACATGTCTCTCATTGGCTGACTGATTGTATATGTCTCTCATTGGCTGACTGATTGTGATGTACATTTATCTGATTGGCTGACTGATTGTACATGTCTCTCATTGGCTGACTGATTGTGATGTACATGTCTCTGATTGGCTGACTGATTGTGATGTACATGTCTCTGATTGGCTGACTGATTGTGATGTACATTTATCTGATTGGCTGACTGATTGTACATGTCTGTGATTGGCTGACTGATTGTGATGTACATGTCTCTGATTGGACGTGTGTTTCAGGCACACTTGGCCCTCTACTGCTTCGCCAACAACCAGGTGTCGAGCGCACTGAAGCTGATGTACCGGGCCCGCTACCTGGCGCTGCTCTGTTACGGCGAGGATCATCCCGAAGTCGCCCTCATTGACGTGAGTGGGTCCCACCTACCCAATAGTCTTCCTAAAGTGTTCATTAAAGAAGTGTTTATAATATGACGTCAGTTCGTTTCTCTACATTCATGGGAACTAAGATCCGATCCAGGGGTCTGGAACTATTTCATGACAAGGTGAAAACATTCTAACTAATTGTGTAGAAGTGAGTCTGTTGATTTTCATGCAACATGGAATTGAATTTTTGACAGTGTGGTGGATAATTGAAGGACAAAATCAAATTACCTATTACCACGAGCCTAATTTTGAACATCACGGTCAATATATATTTTTTTTAAATTGCATTTTCTCACTTGTTTTCATGGGGCGGTCGCGTAGCCTAGTGGTTAAAGTGTTCGCTTGTCATGCCAAAGGCCTGGGTTCGATTCCCCACATGGGTACAATGTGTGCAGCCCATTTCTGGTGTCCCTCACTTTGATATTGCTGGAATATTGCTAAAAGCGGTGTAAAACCATACTCACTCACTTGTTTTCCTATTTTCAAAGTATTGTTCCCTCAAAAGGAATTCCCAGACTGGTGTCCTACAGCTTGGCGAGGTTGTGATGCAGATTATATATATTCTCTTCCATTCTACTGCAGAGTAACATAGGTCTGATCCTACACGCGGTCGAGGAGTACGAGTTGTCCCTCCGCTTCCTGGAGCAGGCGTTGCAGCTTAATACAAAGTAGGTACTCCACACAGCCCTCTGAATGTCCATACGCTCGTCACACTCGGATCAGGGTTTGATTCCCCACATGGGTACAATGTGTGAAGCCCATTTCTGGTGTCCCCAGGATGTGATATTGCTAATTTTAGCCAATAGTGGCGTAATATCTCACTCACTCACTCACTCACTCACTCACTCACTCACTCACTCACACTCACTCACTCACACACTCACTCACTCACTCACTCACTCACTCTCACACACACACACACACTTGCTGTAAAAGGCGACTAACGGAAATGGGGTAGTCAGGCTCGCTGACTTGGTTGATGCATGTCATCGTATCCCATTTGCGTGGAACGATGTTCATGATGTCATATAGCTGGAATATTGCTGAGTGCGGCGTTAAACAACCAACAAACACTCACTCACTCTGCCTTGGCGTCAGTCATGGTGATTGGGTGCTCGCAGTGGGACCAGTGAGAGTAGAACTGTGTACCCATCACATACACTCACTCTGCCTTGGCGTCGGTCACGGTGATTAGGTGCTCGCAGTGGGACCAGTGAGAGTAGAACTGTGTACCCATCACATACACTCACTCTGCCTTGGCGTCGGTCACGGTGATTAGGTGCTCGCAGTGGGACCAGTGAGAGTAGAACTGTGTACCCATCACATACACTCACTCTGCCTTGGCGTCGGTCACGGTGATTAGGTGCTCGCAGTGGGACCAGTGAGAGTAGAACTGTGTACCCATCACATACACTCAGTCTGCCTTGGCGTCAGTCACGGTGATTGGGTGCTCGCAGAGGGACCAGTGAGAGTAGAACTGTATACCCATCACATACACTCACTCTGCCTTGGCTTCGGTCACGGTGATTGGGTGCTCGCAGAGGGACCAGTGAGAGTAGAACTGTATACTCATCACATACACTCACTCTGCCTTGGCTTCGGTCACGGTGATTGGGTGCTCGCAGAGGGACCAGTGAGAGTAGAACTGTGTACCCATCACATACACTCAGTCTGCCTTGGCGTCAGTCACGGTGATGGGGTGCTTGCAGTGGGACCAGTGAGAGTAGAACTGTATACCCATCACATACACTCAGTCTGCCTTGGCGTCGGTCACAGTGATGGTGTGCTCGCAGTGGGACCAGTGAGAGTAGAACTGTATACCCATCACATACACCCACTCTGCCTTGGCGTCGGTCACAGTGATGGTGTGCTCGCAGTGGGACCAGTGAGAGTAGAACTGTGTACCCATCACATATTCTCACTGTCTTTTGAATTATATCCAAGTTTTCTGTGTTGTGTTGCAGGTATTTTGGTGTGAAGAGTTTGAAAGTGGCAATGAGCTATCACCTGGTGGCCCGCACTCACTCATGTCGCGGAGACTTCCGGGCCGCACTGCTCAGTGAGAAGGAGGCCTTCGCTATCTACAGGCAGACGGTAGGTCACTCAAACTACATGTTGTTGGTAAAGGTTGGAGAGAGACGACAGGCAGCTACTGGTGTTTGTTTGTCATCTAACGCCGCACTCAGCAATATTCCAGCTATAAGACAGCTGTCCGTACAATCCAGTGAGTGACATTATGAGCATCGATCTAGGTAATTGGAATACAATGACATGCATCAACCAAGTCTGCGAGCCTGATCCCGTTGGTCGGCTCTTTTACTTCAAGCATGGGTTGCTGAAGACCTATTCTACCCCGGATCTTCTCAAAGAAGAAAATGAAGGTTTGACCAAAAGATCCTGACCCCCCGATCCCGTTAGCGTGGATTGCTGAAGACCCGGATCTTATCGGGTCAGCTGCTGGGGAGCCCCCTGGTGTACAGTGCCTTGTTCTGTGTCGCCAATGTCACTGAGGGATCACTGTTTGCATTGACACAACAGTTATGTAGTCCACCTTCAGTCATAATGTCTCCATGGGTCTGTAGGGGCGGTCGGGTAGCCTAGTGGTTAAAGCGTTAGCTTGTAATGCCAAAGACCCGGGTTCGAATCCCGACATGGGAACAATGTGTGAAGCCCATTTCTGGTGCCCCCCACCGTGATATTGCTGGAATATTGCTAAAAGCGGTGTAAAACCAATCTAATTCACTCACCCTTGAGTCTGTAAGTGTGGTTGGACCCTGCTTAATGTGTATTTATTTGACTTCTTGCATCCTGGCAGCTTGGCGAGGAGCATGAGCGGACGAAGGAGTCGTCGGAGTGCTTGAAGCACCTCACACAGCAGGCGGTCGTGTTCCAGAAGAAGATGAACGAGATCTACAAGGGGGAGAAGAGCATCACATTCCCGCCGATACAGATCCAGACACCCTCGCTCTCTAGCGTCCTCGACACCCTCAACGTCATCAATGGCATCGTCTTCGTCCAGATCAGGTGAGGTCATAATCATCATGGTTACATTTTCAGGTGACGTCATTGTCGTCATGGTAACTTGCTCAGGTGAGTCTGGAGTCCTCACTAGGCAACCGGCATTGGCTGCTTGGGACCGGTTCTAGCCTGGAGTCGCCATGGGGTTCTGGGTTAGTATGTCCCTAATATCTACTGCCTGAAAAGGGGATAAGTTGGTTAAAATGGCTGAAGGGTAAGTGCATTAGGAACTTAGACTGCTGATGCGTTGTTAAGCAATTACTCACTCACTCACTCTTACTATAGGGGGCATGGGTCACCCAGTCGTCTAAGGTGCTGGGATTCGCTGTGCAGAGTTGCGTCCCTTGGGCACGCCAGAAACCTTTGATTGTTGGTTTGAATCCCGGTTCGCCCCGATTATGTTTCTAGGTTAGTCACCATACCCGTGCTCGTGTGTTTCACTGAAGTGGTAAACGTCTGAGACCTGCATGACTTCGGGCTTTCCTTACCACACGCCGTGATATAACTGGAATAATGTTAAAAGGGGCCTTAAACCCAACTCACTCTTACTATATGTCGAAGGAAAATAATTAATTTAATAAAGGGTTGAAATTGCATTTTAATTAGGTACTTTCTAATTTGTTTGCAACTCCTGGTTTCTGGTGGGGCCTTGTCAACTAACACCGCAAGTCGCTTTTCGGAGTTGCGTCCCTTGGGCATGCCAGGAACCTATGATAATGATTATTGTAATAGGTTTGTCAGCACCATACCCATGCTTGTGGGTTCAACCAAATCAGGGGGGCACGGGTGGCCCAGTCGTCTAAGGCGCCGCGATTCGCTGTGCAGAGTTGCGTCCCTTGGGCACGCCAGAAACCTTTGATTGTTGGTTTGAATCCCGGTTCGCCCCGATTATGTTTCTAGGTTAGTCACCATACCCGTGCTCGTGTGTTTCACTGAAGTGGTAAACGTCTGAGACCTGCATGACTTCGGGCTTTCCTTACCACACGCCGTGATATAACTGGAATAATGTTAAAAGGGGCCTTAAACCCAACTCACTCTTACTATATGTCGAAGGAAAATAATTAATTTAATAAAGGGTTGAAATTGCATTTTAATTAGGTACTTTCTAATTTGTTTGCAACTCCTGGTTTCTGGTGGGGCCTTGTCAACTAACACACCGCAAGTCGCTTTTCGGAGTTGCGTCCCTTGGGCATGCCAGGAACCTATGATAATGATTATTGTAATAGGTTTGTCAGCACCATACCCATGCTTGTGGGTTCAACCAAATCAGGGGGGCACGGGTGGCCCAGTCGTCTAAGGCGCCGCGATTCGCTGTGCAGAGTTGCGTCCCTTGGGCACGCCAGAAACCTATGATTGTGGGTTCGAATCCCGGTTCGCCCCAATTATGTTTCTAGGTTTGTCAGCACCATACCTGTGCTCGTGGGTTTCACCGAAGTGGTAAACGTCTGAGACCTGCATGACTTCGGGCTTTCCTCCCACATTAAGCTGACACGCCGCGATATAACTGGAATACTGTTAAAAGCGGCGTTAAACCCAACTCACTCACTCACTCAACCAAATCAGTAAATGTCTAAGACCTGCATCACTTCGGCCTTTCTTCCCATGTTAAGGCCAGACACTGCACCTTACAATTGACAAAATGCTTCACAAGTATTTGTTAGTTTTAATTGGTTACAACTTTGAGGTATACATATTAACAATTGAAATGGAGCCTTTTCCAGGTGATGTTGCCACCGGTTGCCATGGAAACATCCAAGATGGCTGCCGCAAGCCTGAAAAAGATGGAAATTAGTTTCAGTTTTTCTCTAAGACCAATAAAGATATTTATATAATTTCAATTGTATAACAAAGCTTGTATGGTGTTGCGTACAATGACAGAAAGAAAAATTTAAAAAGGACTGGTATATATTTTTAAAATAATTTTTCAAAATTTCACATTTTTTAGGTTGATTTTTACCCATAATTTATTTTTTAAAATCAAAATGGCCAACAAATTGTAAAAAGTCTCTCTGTTATTGTGTAAAGTAATCCTCTGCCTATATGTACACCAAATTTCATTCAAATCGGGCCAATAATGGTTGAGATCTATGTTCACTAATATCCAAAATGACGTTAATGGAGAAAATGAGGAAATAAGTTTGTATATGGTTTTCTTCCTTCAGCACCTATTAAACACTTACAAAATCTTAGTTTACTGATGGGATTTATTCAAGATACATAAAACAATGCATGTATAAAGAAATAACAGGACTTAAAACTCCCCAGCACCATACAACAAGCCTTCAGCTGCCTCAACATGAACTCGGTCCCTTTTTTTAGCCTCCCACTTTGCACTACATTCTATCTTAGATGTCTCCTGGCTTTGCTTCCTTGCTTTGAGGGTTCTCACATTATCAAGTCTTTCAATAGAAGCTGCTGTTATTTCATTAGCTTCTATTGCAAGCTTGTTAATTACCTGAGTAATGTGACATGTACCCTCATTGAATGAAGCTATTGCAGACGCCACTGCCCGACGCAACCGCCTTGCACCCACAAAAACGGTCTTCAGACAACGGGACTAGATCACGGAATGCAAGCATTCATTAGCATGATTAGCATTCTGTGTCTTGCCTTTCACCATCCTCTTAAGGAGGTTTTCATCAGACATTCTTTGATACACAGGTACCATCTTTTCTGCAATTTCTGCATCGAGACAATGTCTGATGTTGACAAAACTTCCTTAGTATTTTCAACAACAACCTGTGAAAGAATGTTTTGTTTTTGTTGAAATGTCTTAGGATGGAGACCTTCCATTCCAAAAACCAGACAAAACCTTTTCATTGCAGCATGACCAAGTCCTACCTCTGACAGAGCATAAAAATGTCATTGACCTGAAAGGGATTGGTACCAGATTGATTACCTTACCTTTGTGAAGTGTAATTTTTGGCAACACACATCTGACAGTTTTGACATGTCAACATAACGTTTACAGCAAATCCAAATCTATCAAAATTGTCACTCTTTTCAAACAACAAAGACCCCTGTTCGTGACATGATAGGCATTCAATCACTTGAAAAAATAAATTCATTTGTCTCATGTCAATTAACATCCATTGAGGTTTTGGTTCATCATTGTCAAGCACGGGAGATTTGATATTTTCAGCAGCTTTAAATTTTGATAGTTTTATGTCGCTGCGTGAAGTTGCATTCAATAAAAAAGAATTCTCACCTTCATTGTCTCAAACGGGGATGTTTTCCCCAACGGCGTGGTCCCCGGATGATTTCGATGCATCTAAAACGTCCAAGCTGTCAGAATCTGACACAGGGATAATCGCGCGCTGTCAACACGGGTCGTAACTCTAACACCGCATTTCGAACGTGCCTGCTTCAACTGACTTGCCCTTCGCCTCCTATTCTAACCATAGGCGTGTTGTGACCCGTGTTTTGACTTCATTTTAAAAAAATACAACAATTTTCAGTTAAGAAAATATCAAAAACGATGTTTGCCTGTCAATCTTTTCGCAAAGCAGCCGCCATTTTGTATACCTACCGGAAAAGACCGGTGTTTTGTTGCTAAGCCGAATGGTGCATTGTGGGATACGTTTTACTTTATTTGGATCGAACGAATATTCCCGAATGTTGCATTACGGGATATTTCTCCTTAAATGGTAATTTTCGTACGAATGACTCGCGGGAAAAACCGACGATAGCCTCACGTGGAATATCTATTTTTAGAATGTTTTTGCACAGAAAGATGGCGGAAACGATCAGCTTTCTATCGATGTATAACGTGAAGGGGTTCGTTACAGCTGCGGGGGCGTTGTCATGGGTGAAAGTTCAGGTTTTTCCACATTGATTACGATCATATTTAAAAACAATACCACACATTATGATTTTAATAACGTTTTTTATTCAGTAAATGTACACAATATCGTAAAAAACATGTTGCATCACAAAGTACATGTGTTATATATGCGAAAAAAATCAAAATCTCGATTTTGACATATTGAAGCAATTATGTTAATTTAAGGTGCCGTGTCTGGCCTTAAGCTGACATGCTGGGATAAGAGTGTAATACAGATCAAAGCATCATTTAACTCGCTCACTTTTGCAGCGTTAAACCCAACTCACTCATTCATTCTCCTCATTTTGTTCTTAACTTTCATATATATATATATTTTCATATATTAACATATTCTGGCAACACCATGAAGACGATCGTTTTGTTGTTGTAGTCATGACGACATCGAGAAGTTCAAGCAAGAGATGACCAAGAGGACGACTGATCAAAAAGAGCTTCCAGAAGTTACTGCAAGTGGTGACGCTAAGCTATCAAACTCGGACAATGCCAGCCTACCAAACACAAGCGCCATTGAAGGCGCCCCTTCATCTCAGGACTGTGCTGGTGATAACAAACTATCCCATGAGCCTGCTCAACTAGTCAATGGAGATGTGAAGCTCCAGGATCCCCTTCCCGAAGTTACAGTGACAGAAGGGCGATAAATTGGGAAACTGTGCTGAATATAGTATATGTGAACACTTTCAAGGGAGACAACTCAAGGCAGCAATGTCAATGGATGTAATTGAATAGACAAGATATAGAAGGTGTAGCTGTGTGTAGCGTGAGAGTTGAATGTACGACCTTAACAAGCTGTGGGTTGTCTCCCTTTGTATATATTACGGAGCCCGACAGGGCATTGCATATCATGTGCATATGCAAGTAGCAGACGCACCAGTCTTCCGTCGTCGTCCATTCACCTGCATATGTGATTGTCTTTCACTCAAATCACCATTCATGTTGTCTGTGGACCTTCGACCTGCGATGTAGGTCGTGCATTTAGCTGTCGGGTTCGGAGCAAGTAGGAGTTGACTGAAACAAGCTGTGCGTTGGTTCAATGTGCCTCCATTGCTCGGTTTGCTGCTTGTGGAATCCCAATGGCTGGTCATAAGGATGATTCTTCAGCCATGTCGAACAGGCCATCTTCAGCCATGTCCAACATGGCTCCATTGACAAGTCTGGAAGCTGTCAGTGTGCAGAATTGTAATTCATGGAGAAGGAAAGGCATGGAGAGTCTGAGGTCTTTGTTCCCGAAAGATAAGCAGCTGATAAATAGTGCATTTATAGATTGTTTGTCGTAGACGTATCGTGAAGGAAATGCTGCCTTGTTTTGATGCTACTGCTAGTTTTTTCTGTGTTACCAATATGCCTCCTATCAAATCCAAAGTGTGATAATTTTACTGAGAATTTATTTGTTTTGTTTGAACAAGATGTCAAAGTAGATAAATTTATTTGTTGTATGGATGAACGTGAATGTAGATATGACTGTGTCCATCTTCAAGTAACCAGAGTATTATATCCCCATTCTATTAAATACACTTGACCAGAAAGACCACCATAGTTTCATTGTGAGCCTAGTTCTAATGGCACAGCGCTCAAATTAGCTGTTGGGGCCGAGAGAAATTCTGTGCTTAGGTAGAGAGAGATGACGAATCTTTGGTGCTTATTGAGCCCAGTGTATATATCATATAAAAATGGACAACACACCGGGAAGTCGAGGATGTGTTGAGTGGAACTGATGTGTATCCAGAGCTAGTTTTTGTTGGTCAATAATCTGTTGTGTGACAAGATTAAGTTTGAATCAAATCATGTACAGGAAAATTAAGTTGCTGTTCTCTGTGAGAAACTGTTGACTATGCAGGCCGATATTGCCTTCATGGTGGAGTCTTTGCCCCATCCTCCTTTATCCAGGGTATAATATCTCCACCCCACTTTGTGAATACCCTGCTCACTGGTGTTACCATTATGTCATTTTGAGCATGAGTCGAACGCTAGAAATAGTCATCCAATAACGTTATTCTCACAAGATAATTCTGTGCTGAAAGAGAGAGATGGACCGGGGGTGTCACTTCCACAACCAAGCTGTTGTTGTGATGGGTTCAGGGTTTTAGCATAATAGAATGGAGATATTATACCCAGGATGATCGAGGATGTTGGTCCTCTGACTTTGTTACTGAAATCTTCATGCATAAACACAGTTACCTGATGGCTGGAGGATACGAGAGTTATTCCACACGTGATGGGTAGCGTAATAAGGGATAACTCCATGTGCCAAATAGATGAATTATTCAACATTGTTCTATGTGGTAATCAGTGATCTGATATGCTAATGATATGGTAAGCTGGAATAACTGTACCAAGTTGTAGTTTAAATTGATGATTTCACGGGCCATTTCTATGATGAGTTGTACACCATTGATTGGTCGGTGCTGGAGATACTCGTCTTAGAGCATTTGGTTGATATGTAGTTTAAACCATTCCACTAATTCTACAAATAGCATTCCTTTACCTGTAGATGTTCTTTGGAAATTGTTAAAGTTATTTTGTTAGTGTACCTGACAGTTGTCTGTTTTTTTTAGAAATGTTGAAGATCTGTTTTACTTTTCATTAATTGCATATTTGATACACAGGACCATTTGTATAAAAGATACAAGAGATTCAACATTACATTTGTGTATGCTATATTCTTACTCAAGACATGATTTTTAGAAAACAGAAGTGTTAAGAGGTTTTGTATCTTGTGTAGATGTGAATAACAAGCAGAACTTTTCAGGTACATAAAACCATCATGGTTACATAACTGAAGGTTCCACATAAATTTGTGCATTTCTCTTGGGAAGTATGCTTTGGAAAATAAGTAAAGGACCACCCATTTCTTTCATATTACAATAGTAAGTGCTTAGCTTTCTTTTAGAATATATGAAGTGAATTTGACTGTATTGTAAAAAGCAATGACTCCGTCTCAGAATTTGATGATACTGGTCAATAAAATGTTTGATAGGCATTACATGGAAGTTGACGGATGACAAGGTAGACACAATTTTATGGATAACAACTTCTTTACTACTGTAAAAAGCTTTTTACAGTATGAAAGAAGTTATTATCCATAAAATTGTGTCTACGTTGTTACTGGTCAATAGGTGTCTTACGAAGCCCCAAGACATTGGTCAGTATTGGTGACCAGGTTAACAACTCGGAGACATGGTCGATATATCGCAGAGTGGGTTAGCACTGTCGTGACACGAGATCGCATTTATTAACAAAACCCAAACATGAATCAAACCTTGACTGCCAAGTGCATGCATGTGTCGTTGTCGTTGTGTGTTATGTAGAGATGAAGTTCTCAAGTTATGCATGCTCAAGACTACGAGTGTTAGTGTTGTGAAGTCGTACATTAGCCGTTGAGTACTAGAATAGCAACATTCCAGTAGATCCAGTACTTATCAGCACAGATCTACATGTCCTTTTGGGCAATCACTGTAGCACTTCGACTATCGCACTCCGAAGTGGACAACAGCCATCTGTGCTACGACCATTGCACTCCGATGTGGACAACACCGGTCGTAGCTATGACTCTCGCTCTCCGATGTGGGCAACACCAGTCGTAGCTACGACTCTCACACTCCAATGTGGACAACACCTGTCGTAGCTACGATTGATTCGTACAGTTGGTTGTTCATGGGTGAGATGCGCTACATGCAGTGAAACCTTGTCAGCTCCATGTGTGAGAACATGTGACAGTTTCATTCTACTCTCTGACAAAATCATGGCCATGTAGGCTAAGTTTCTGCAGTTCGAATCAGCAGGTCCTGGGTTCAAGGCCCGGTACGGCCTAATAATGATCCCAGGCCTGTCGGCCATGATGCCTCAAGGGTTTTGTTGAAGTTGTGAAGTCTGCATGCTGTGGCCATTTGGGTTCTCATCCCACCTGAGGGAGGAAAGTGTTTAAGTCGTTACTGAACTCAACTCATAGCATAATTTATGTTGATGTTCTCAACATGGAGGGAGGGAGGTTTCTCTGTACCATGTAAAGGATGTGATTACGATAAATCGTTAGGTACTGTGATAGTTCGTCAGTGCTAGTCTGAGATTTGTGAATGGAACTAATCAAATATTGTGGACTACGTAGCAGTTGTCTTGAAATAACTTGATAATTTATTTTGTGTCTTATTCTGTATGAGAGTTGTGATGATTCACTGATGCATCAATATGTCACTTATTGACACCTGCCGTAAAAGGCGACTATGCTTGTCGTAAGAGGCAACTAACGGGATCGGGTGGTCAGGCTCGCTGACTTGGTTGATGCATGTCATTGATCCCAGTTGCGTGGATTGATGCTAATGATATTAATCACTGGATTGTCTGGTCCAGACTCGATTATTTACAGACCGCCGTCATATATAATCAAGTCTGGACCAGACAATCCAGTTATTGACATCATGAGCATAGATCCACGCAATAAGGATACAATGGCATACATCAACCATGTCAGTGAACCTGACCTGACCATCCGATCCCGTTAGTTGCCTCTCATGACAAGCATAGTCGCCTCTTTGGGCAAGCATGGGTTGCTGAAGACCTATTCTCTACCCAGATCTTCATGGCGTATGCATATGAAACTATATCAGGAATCAGGACAGCTCAAGGTCGTTATTTTAGCCATCAGTATTTGTTGGTTGTCACTATGAATTTGTCAATGTAGATGATTGTGTGTAATCTGAAGTATTTACGTTATTTACAAAATGTTAGATTTTTAGAGGGTTTATGTTTTTGAGAGTCTCAGAGATATACATATATATGAATTTGCTTGTATCGTATGCATGGGTGTGCGTGTGGCATGACCAGCTGTAGCACTGATGTCTCGACTCCATGTACGTACAAGGTGACTGTCAGTAGGTAAACATGGCTTCGATTCACTGAAGCTTCCATATTTTGTTCCCACAATGTTGTACTGAAGATCCATTGATATTAACTGAAATTTAAATATGACCGATCAAGATAAATGGATAAAAATCTTTGTAAAATTCTATTTGCTGATGCACGGTCGGGTAGCCTAGTGGTTAAAGCGTTCGCTCGTCACACCAAAGACCCAGGTTCGTATCCCGACATGGGTACAATGTGTGATATTGCTGGAATATTGCTAAAAGCGGCCTAAAAACACATTCATTTATTCCTGGGTTACGTTGTGGGTGTACCTGCTGGCTTTAAGAATAATTCTAATCTCGTCCAGACCTTTCTTTACAGAGTATAATCTGGTGTAAACACCTTAGTACAAACTAGACTGAATATTTCAGTGTATTGCTTGTAATGCTTCATTGTTCTTGAAGAATTATTTTATTTCTAACCACCTGTGTACCACTTATTGTGGCCTACTGTACGTTGTTTCCATGGTGATTTTGTCTGTTATTGGATGGTTGCCATAGTAACAGGATAGAATGTTTTTCATTGTGATGTTACAAAGCTGCAGAATGTTTGACAAACGAGTGCATAGACAATCCTAACAGATTATATTATGGAGAAATTACTGATGTATACATGAATATGATAAATTACTGCATTTTTTCAAGGAAGGATATTCTGCATTTTATGTGTGATCTTGTGATCTGCCTGATCTTGTCCATGTTCTCCTTTGACAAACGATATCAACATAACTAATTAAGCTGAAGCTTTTGTGATAATTATTTACACATAGTAGTAATAGTCCTCTGAGATTTCTTGGTTATTCTTGCCGTGTAGATGAATATTTAGCTGAACTTTCAGCTGATCTTCACCATTGGCTGTAGTGTTTGTGTATTCTTGCACGCCATCTCCAGATTGTGTACCACAAAACTTGATGTTGTAAAAACACTTCATATTCAACCAGTCATGGTTCCCCATTTACATTGTAAATTAAACATGCTGCTCTTCTCAGACATTATTTAAACATAATTGTTGGGGAGATTTCATTGAAGTAATACACCTGATGTTTCCTCATCCTCGGTGATCCAGGGTGTTATATCTCCATGGTATTGTAGTATGTACCCTGGACCCAAGCACCGCCATTGCTTCGTTTCAGAGGTGACATTAACACTCCTATTGATAGCACAGGACTTTTCTCACTCAAAAGCCCAAGTGTAGATCTCAACAAAAAATATCAGCCTCCTATATGAGCACATTCTTGATATATTTTGTCGAAATCAGGAGACATGAATTATTGTTTTGCTTGAGTAGTGGTTTACATGAAATATAAGTCAATTAATGATAAAATTAATTTAATTATTCTGTATGTGAATTGATAAAAATGTAGGCCTTCAGTTAAGCAATCAAATACTAAATATGAACTGAGAAGCATGCTGGAAACGAAGCTCCAGTAACAAATGGGCCAAGGGTATTTATTACAACATGGAGATATTATACCCTGGATTATCGAGGATGGGATTTCCTGTATGGATCATGTTTGTGAGGGTATTAAGTTGGATGAAGGGTGGATTAATGGCTGGTTCCTTGAGGGAGCATATCAGCGTCGTCATCGATTACTCAGCTAGGTCAGAATACAACATGTAGATGTGTTAATATATTCAGTGTAATAGTGGAGACAGTAGCACTTAATTTCCTGTGGTCTGTAGGAATGCAGAAGACACTTGTTGACATGACGTACACATGATCTGTGCATAAAAAAATTATTCGGCTGGCCTGAAATTTTTCTTTGGCATAATGTTCAGTTGATTTCCCACTTTGGGTATGGACAGTGGCCTCTTCATAAAGGGACATTGGTTCAGTGCAATACACAGGAAGTGCCACTCTCCTTGGAGGATGGTTCATTGGTTGTGGATAGCTTCCAAGCCTTTGTTGACATGAGTTAGTGTCGATAATTATGTCCCGCGTCAAATTGATTTCGTATCATGGAGTCAAACTCTTAAGTCATCAAGCAGAGGACAACTGATTGGATCGTCATTTATTAAACTTGAAAGTAAGCAGAAACTGTCCGTCTGTCCTGTCCGCACATGATAGAAATTTGCCTTGCTCCAAGGCTGTACTGAAAGATAAGTCCATGGATGTGTAGTAATTCTATCCTCCTAAGTCTAGATATGTGGACAGACTCCAGTCTCTTATGGGGACAGCTTGTTATTATTTACATAATCTAGAAATTATGATTTAAACCAATCATTATTGCTTTAGAGACTTGTGCAAGTCTAAACACAATTCCGAGCAGTGATTTATGAATTCAAACAAGCATGGACCTTATTTATATATTCTGAAAATCTTTGTGATCAATTTCTGTCATTCTCTGCTGAGCACAGAAACTAAATGTGGGAGTGATTGTCTGTGTTGACGAGTGTCGTCTTCTGCTCCATGTACGGACCCGGGAATGAGCTGTGTAGGTTATGTTTCCGCGTGTGATGTGTGTTTGCCGAGATCTAGAACTCATGTACAGTAGTGAGTGGTGAATGATTTCAAACATTAACCAAGAGTTTGATAAGCAATAAAAAATAATGTCAAGAACAATTAGTGAGTTTGTTTTCTCCTGTGGATCATCATGAATGTCAAAGACATCAGACAGGTGTGCAGCCAAAGACACGGCCACTTGTCCAAGATGTGATAATCTTTGTTTGACGCCGCACTCGGCAATATTCCAGCTATATGACAGCTGTCTGTAAATAATCAAGTCTGGACCAGACATATTAGCATTGATCCACTCAATTGGGATACAATGACATGCATCAACCAAGTCAGCAAGCCTGGCCACCTGATCCCATTAATCTAGTGGAACCAGTGATTTTTACGGGTGGCCCAGTTGGCTAAGGGAGCCACAATTTGCCATGCAGAGTTGCATCCCTTGGGTCTGCCAGGAACCTAAACCCTGGATCACCCTGATAATGTTCAGGTTTCTCAGCACCATACCCATGATGTGGAATGACAAACAAGCAGTAGATTTGCATCACTTGGACTTTCCTACCCCGCCACGATATCTGTTCAAAGCAGCATTGGACCGCCTCTGTGGTCCAGTGGTAAAGCGTCCGCCCAGAGAGTGGAAGGTCCGGGGTTTGATCCCCGAATGCGTCATACCAAGAGACGTTAAAAGATGGTACTTGTTGTTACCCTGTCTGGCGCTCGGCATTAAGGGGCTAAACAAGAAGTGGTCGCCTCGGAGTCAGTATACTGTGTCTGAGTGGGGTATTCATGTTAAACTGCGGCATGGTATCTCAGTGAGCTAGCACTATAAATCGGCATTAGTCCAGACTAGTAAAAGCAGCCACACAAACACACACATGTACATGCACATCGCTATTTAAGTGCAATAATCTTTGACGCAACGTTAAACCCCATTTCACTTCAACTCACCTCAAAGCAGCGTTAAACAAACTAGCAAAAAAAAAAAGATGTTATTTTACTTAACCATGAGTCTGAAATGAGCTACCCCGAGTGTGGAAGTTGTTTTGTGTGAGTTTCCAGCGGAAGATAAACCCCTCGAAGAGATTTTGTCATCACAAATGTTGGAGGTCCTTGTTATCTGATGTTTAACCCAGCCCTTGGCAATATTCCTGCTGTATGACAGCAGCCTGTAAATAATCAAGTCTGGACCAGACAATCCAGTTACTGATAATGTTAGCGACGATCTACATCATTGGTGTATGATGCCATGCAATCAACAAGTCACCCGGCCTGACCACCGATCCATTTAGTCACCCACTACGACTTGCATCAGTTGCTGGGGACCTACTGAACCCTGAAACCCTGGGAGGAAGTTTGTGTAAGACGATAAGAACTCCTGTAAGTGTTATATCAGTTTGTGGAACAGACTCTGGATCTAGTCCACAAAAGTGATTTCAAGCGCTGCAACTACAGTACGTCCATGTAAACGTTTTGAGGTAATGATCGCCTTTATGCTAATACTGACTGGTGGAACCTGACTTATCCGGTCAGTACCTAACTACATATTCATAGCTGTAGTAGTGCTAACAATAGATCACCCATATCCTGTCAGGTGACCCCAGACTTCACACATCAGACACATGTCAGGTATCAACCGAGATCTTCTGCCTGAAGAGCAAACGTTCCAACCAGAGCCTCAGCCCCAGGTGAGGTGAAATTGGGGTCGCAAACAAGATTATTGGTGAGGTGAGGTGTAAATGGGGTTTAACGTCGCGTCCAAGATTATTACACTTATATAGCGACGTGCATGTATGTGTTCGTGTGGCTGCTTGTACTAGTCCGGACTGATGCCGATTTATAGTGCTAGCTCACTGAGATACCATGCCGCAGTTTAACATGAATACCCCACTCAGACACAGTATACTGACGCCGAGCCGACCAGTCCTTGTTTTAGCCCCTTAATGCCGAGCGCCAGACAGGGTAACAACAAGTACCATCTTTTAACGTCTTTTGGTATGACGCAGTCGGGGATCAAACCCCGGACCTTCCGCTCTCATTGCAGACGATCTACCACTAGACCAATAGACCTAGATTATTGGACTTGTATAGCAACGTGTATGCGTGCCGCTTGCTTGCTCTTGTTCCAGTCAGGACTGATGCTGAGACAAACAAATCAAGTGCTAGCCCACTGAGATACCATGCTGCAGTTTAACATGAATACTCTACTCGAACACCGCACACTGACTCCCCTTAATGCCAAGCACCAGACAGGGTAACAACAAGTACCATCTTTAACGTCTTGTGGTATGATGTGGCCGGGGATCGAACCCCGGACCCTCTGCTCTCCCACGAGACCACAGGCTGGCACGGAGGCTGTCTGCGCCAGCCAGAACGGAACAAGGAGTAATAAGTACAATCATAATTTATTAATTTTACAGTTTTAACGAGTTGTAACAAATAACAGTAATCCTAATACAACATGCAGCATCGTCCATCACTTCAGAAAGAGTGATTGATGGTTTGACGCCACATGGAACAGTATTTCATGGATATCACTGCATGTCAGCTTGTGAAAGATGCGAGACGTGAACCACTTCAGCGAAATCCACTAGCATGGTGCAGACAAGCCTAGGAACAATATGTACCCTGGACCCAAGCACCGCCATTGCTTCGTTTCAGAGGTGATATCATCCCTCCTATTGATAACACAGGACTTTTCTCACTCATAAGCCCAAGTGTAGATCTCAACACTCTTGATAGTTGGTTGGTACGCTTATGGACTCAACTCGAAACAGAAAAGAGTTGCTTTGTCAGTAAACATATACTACTAAACAGAAGTAAAGAACACCAAATGTTTTCATGACAAAGAATCGTGTTCTTCAACTTCTTTTGAGTAACATATACTACTCAAAAGAAGTTAAGGATCACTCGATTCTTTCATATTGGTAATGTTAATCTGTCATGGCATGAGAGATTAACTATTGTAATATGAAAGAATCAGGTGATCCTTAACTTCTTTTGAGTAGCATATATTGGTTCTGGACTGGACAAGAAAAAAGACGAATCCTCTTGGACTTGTGCTCAACTGGTATATAAAACCCAACAAATGCTGTCTACACAATATTGACCAATTTGCAAACTTGATAAACACATGTAGCTTTTTCCTATGGAGACACCCTGCATATGTCAGTCACAGGTCTGATAATTTAACCTAATCTTGCTTGGTACGATATGGATTAATGATGATATTCATTTTAATGATCTAGTGACAAATATCTTGTCTAATACTAGTAATTGTTATCAGTTTTTTAAATAATTGACGGTATTATTCATGGCAAGCTATATCAGCCCTATTCTACTGAGTATATACGGATGACGTGGATGTCGACACATCACAAGTGTTCTCATATACCACCCTGCCACACTACAGAACTACTTGGTACACACAGTGAGTGAGTGAGTGAGTATGGTTTTTACGCCGCTTTTAGCAATATTCCAGCAATATCACGGCGAAGATATAATATCGGGGGGACACCAGAAATGGGCTTCACACATTGTACCCATGTCGGGAATCGAACCCGGGTCTTCGGCGTGATGAGCGAACGCTTTAACCACCAGGCTACCCAACCGCCCCTTGGTACACACAGAGTCAACATGGATGCTGTTGTTGCTGGCGGAGCTCGTTGCAGCCAACAAGGTGGTGCTTCAGGGCTAATTTGGACCCGGCATCGCCTCCTTGAAGCGACAGGAGGCGCGACAGGTACATGGTATTAGGTAGAGAGTATTGTTAACGATGATTTTACTTGATATCTAGCTGCAGTTATCATAAAAAACTTGGTAAGAAAGGGAACAAGTTTTGTATCTTATCTATTACTCATCCTTTTTCAAGTTTTGGTAACAAAAACATCATTTTTTACATTCTCTATATAGGAAGCAAAATGCAAGTTCTTGGAATGTGGCATGACAGATTAACTATTGTCATATAAAAAATCTGTTGTTATTTAACTATTTTCAAACCATTTGACTGATCGTCCAGCAATCTACCGGACTTCAATGGTTGCTTGATGAAGCAAGAAGATGGGGACACAGAGGATAATCTTGGACCTGAAATAGCGGCATCATTTCTTGAGAAGACGCATCAGGAAATGACAAATATCGTGAAACCTGCACGAAAGCAAAGAAACGAGAGAATGTTGTGACACTGCTCAGAGGTCTTCGGTGTCATTGGTATAAATATAATAATATTCCTATCCAAATAACTCGTACAGTTTATATTCATGAGTGAATTGTATTTTGGGAGTTACGTCCCCTTATATCACGCTCCAAGTCTTCAACTTGTTAAACCATTATTGGAGTTTATCCCTTGGTACACTGAGCACACGGCAGCACCACCACAGTGCTAGTCATTGTCTTTGCTTTGCTCCATTTTATTTGTGTTAAAGAGAAAACTAAGAACTACGATGCAGACGGGTAAAACAGTAGGAGCAGGTGCTGCAATGCCCACACTACTGTGTTTCGAGAAGGGTATTGCTATCACAGAGACCATATTTTTTGCCAGCTGTGTTGACAAGGTGAGGTGAGGTGAGGTGTAAATGGGGTTTAACGTCGCGTCCAAGATTATTACACTTATATAGCGACATGCATGTACGTGTATGTGTTCGTGTGGCTGCTTGTACTAGTCCGGACTGATGCCGATTTATAGTGCTAGCTCACTGAGATACCATGCCGCAGTTTAACATGAATACCCCACACAGACACAGTATACTGACGCCGAGCCGACCAGTCCTTGTTTTAGGCCCTTAATGCCGAGCGCCAGACAGGGTAACAACAAGTACCATCTTTTAACGTCTTTTTGTATGACGCGGCCGGGGATCAAACCCCGGACCTTCCGCTCTCCGGGCGGACGCTCTACCACTAGACCACGGAGGCGGCCGTTGACGACAAGGTCATGCATGAGGGGGGAAATTGGTGCTCTTGGAGGCGCAACATCAGTGGGAAGACAGACGGACAGTAATCCCCCCAAAAAGGTCACTGAAGGCGGCACGGCAAGAGTGCAGCGAGTTGCAGAATGATGAATCGAGATGCAGCGCATTACGATAGGAAATTATGGATAATATGAAAATAAGACCAAGATTGAGGTCAGCACCCATTGAAGGACAGAGAGTGGACTATTTTGAAACATCTCTCTTGAAACATGGTTAAAGAATTTAGTATTCTCTATCCTGATTGACATCAGACAAAAATAAGGATGGACTTTGCATGTAACAATGGTAACTGGGGCTCTTTTCATTGTTCATCAAATAAGTGAGTGAGTGAGTGAGTGAGTTGGGTTTAACGCCGCTTTTAACAGTATTCCAGTTATATCACTGCGTGTCAGCTTAATGTGGGAGGAAAGCCCGAAGTGATGCAGGTCTTAGACGTTTACCACTTCTGTGAAACCCACGAGCACGGCTATGGTGCTGACAAACCTAGAAACATAATCGGGGCGAACCGGGATTCGAACCCACAATCATAGGTTTCTGGCGTGCCCAAGGGACGCAACTCTGCACAGCGAATCGCGCCGCCTTAGACGACTGGGCCACCCGTGCCCCCTCAAATAACAAAGAGCGAGACATCGGCAAATAATATTCAACCTTGATAGGGAGTATGCAGTGGGGTCGGAATGGACCGGGCATGACACTGGCGAGGTACAGCGACATTTGCAGAACTAACACAGTAGCTGTTTATAAATAAAGTTTTAATTACAGTTTTAATAATCTATATTAATGTTCTTATGGTTTTTCCTCACCTGGCAGCCATATTGAAAATCAGATTAGAACTTCTTAAAGGGGAAGTGTACACGCAAAAATCACTTTCTTTTTTTTTCTAAACAAAACGCAATTTTAGAATTAGTTAGTATCTGTGTTTGAAAATATACTCATTTTTTTCACAGTGAAAGTAGGAAGCTCACAATAGTGTGAAAATCATATGCCGTTATGAGGCCTTCGTTTTTCGAGCGAAACAGGCCTGAGTTATCCCCCTTAGAATATGACGTAATTGGTGCCAATTCAACTGGGTCCCTGTCTATTCTCAACGCAAAAGATATCAAGTACCAGTTTGCGGTAAAACAACATGGTCAACGACACACTCCGGCGCATTGGTGACTCAGCATAACACAATTCTGGCTGGCATTTGAGACGCTAGAATCACAAAACTGTACCTACACCACGTGAAGCGGCTCTCACAAAGCATGATGACGTCATAATGTTTATCAATTGGCACCAATGACGTCATATTGCAAGGGGCATAAGCCATGCTGTTTTTGTTATGGAAATAGAACACTTGGTAAATGTGAAAAATATAAATCGTTTTAATGCAAAAAATATGTTAATTAATTATGATGTTTTTATATTTTTGTCTATGACACTTCTATGTTAACACTTTTAATGTGGAAAAAGTACAAGAAAAATTGGTTCATTTCCGTGTGAACTTGCCCTTTAAACAAATTGGGTGTCATCATTGGTGGGAACAAGATGACGATGTACAAACAGGTCATGACATGACATGACATGACATGACATGACATGACATGACATGAGCTCACTTGTCTTCAGTCAGGTGAGCCTAACAAAAACCAGGCCAAGAGGTACACTGAACACAAGACATAAGCAGCTAGACGTGTTTGTTACATACAACACCATCCAAACTTTTGTCTCAACCAGAGCAAACATCATACAGTTAATGACGGTTATAACAAACACACTTATAACTAACTCACCGATAGAGCGAACATCATACAGTTAATGACGGTTATAACAAACACACTTATAACGAACTCACCGATAGAGCAAACATCATACAGTTAATGACGGTTATAACAATCACGCTTATAACGAACTCACCGATAGAGCGAACATCATACAGTTAACTACGGTTATAACAAACACGCTTATAACGAACTCACCGTTAGAGCGAACATCATACAGTTAACTACGGTTATAACTAACGCGCTTATAACGAACTCAACGATAGAGCGAACATCATACAGTTAACTACGGTTATAACAAACGCGCTTATAACGAACTCACCGATAGAGCAAACATACTTTTTAGTCCCAAACATTTGTTGCATATATGCTGTATGTATGCTTATAACGAGCTACGGTTATTACGAATTAAAATCATTGGTCCCTTCGAGTTTGTTATAACCGTATTTTACTGTATACCACTTCTGGTTCGTTATAACATTTATTTGCTTTATACAACTTGGTTATATTCAGCTCTGATTGTATGTATCAAGGTAACCATGGTACCACCTGTGAAGACTAGATATGTGTGCTGCACAGTGTGCTATGCACCAAAAGACGTTAAAAGATGGTACTTGTTGTTACCCTGTCTGGCGCTCGGCATTAAGGGGCTAAAACAAGGACTGGTCGGCTCAGAGTCAGTATACTGTGTCTGAGTTGGGTATTCATGTTAAACTGTGGCATGGTATCTCAGTGGGCTAGCACTATAAATCGGCATCAGTCCGGACTAGTACAAGCAGCCACACACAAACATATACATGTGCATGCACGTCGCTATATAAGTGCAATAATCTTGGACGCGACGTTAAACCCCATTTCACCTCACAGTGTGCTATGCCATGAAATAGTGAGCTACATTACCCTACAGAGGGAGTGAGGCAAACATATACCACTTCTTGTTCGTTATAACATTTATTTGCTGTATACAACTTTGTTATATCCAGGTCTGATGGTATGTTGTTGTTGTTTGTTGTTGTTTGACGCCGCACTCAGCAATATTCCAGCTATATGACAGCGGTCTGTAAATAATGGAGTCTGGACCAGACAATCCTGTGATTGACATCATGATAATCGATCCACGCAATTGTATGTAAGGTGACCATGGTACCACTTGTGCAGACTAGATATGTGTGCTGCACAGTGTGCTATGCCATGAAACCGTCAGCTACATTACCCTACAGGGTGAGTGAGGCAAACATATACCACTTCTTGTTCGTTATAACATTTATTTGCTGTATACAACTTTGTTATATCCAGGTCTGATTGTACATTGTATGTATCAAGGTAACCATGGTACCACTTGTGCAGACGAGATATGTATGCTGCTCAGTGTGCTCTGCCATGAAATAGTGAGCTACATTACCCTACAGGGTGAGTGAGGCAACAAGGGGTTCAGGGAGGTCTCCATGGGTCTTCATGGGTCTTCGTGCAGTACTGAGGTCAAATCATGACGGGACACCAAGAGCTGGTTTGACAGAGCAGAGAGACGTAGGGCATCTACCTCGGCTGCCTGGTGCCCAGACTTAGATGCAAAGCACTGATGACATGAATCATGTCTATGACCAAATCGGTGAGTCCATATTTTGAGGTGTGTACCCACATGCATCAAGTCCGTCAACATGGCGGCTTCAGCTTGTTCTTCAAGTACTGCATCACCTGATGCATCAGCTCGCGTCTGTCTCCGTCGCGCCAAACCATCTCCAGCGTCACCTCCGGATGCCCAGCCGGCTTCTTCAAGTTCACGTCGCACTTAAGGATATACCGCTTCTTGCCAGACTTTGCCAGATCTGAAGGGGTTGGTTTCTTCACATCTGCCACATTACTTGTGTCATCAGGTTTGGATTTCATCGAGCCATCAGGTCCTGATCTGTTTATATCACAATCTTGTGATTTGCTGTTATCAACTAATTCAGTTTCAATGTTTTTCACAACAACTTCTGTGTCTTCCATAACTTTGATCCTTTTGCTTTCACCTGATTCTTCCAGCAGAGTTTCCGGTGCTTTCCTCTTCCTCTGTTCAGAATCATCCACACTACCGTCCACATCCATGTCACCGCTGACATTGAGAGAGCCACTATCATCACCTCCCTTAACCTCTAACCCCGATTCGTCCCCCTTCACCTCCAACCCAGAGTCGTCTCCCTTCACCTCCAACCCGGAGTCATCTCCCTTCACCTCCAACCCAGAGTTGTCTCCCTTCACCTCCAAGCCGGAGTTGTCTCCCTTCACCTCCAATCCAGAGTCGTCTCCCTTCACCTCCAACCCGGAGTTATCTCCCTTCCCACTTTCCTTCAACTCTTCACCAAGCTTGTCTGTCACGACAGAGGTATCGGCCGTGATGCCGGTAGAGTTGTCTGCCCCTTCTCGCAGCTTCAGTCGACGTTTCCGTCTCTGGTTGGACCAGGTGTTGTCGTATGCTACTACTGCAAGGCTGGAGAAGCCCTTGTGACATTTCTTTTCCCTGTGCTGAATCTGTTCAAACAACATCAAGTTTACTTTAGCGACATTATTAACAGCTCGAAAAGCAATCATTAATCAGAATAAGTAAGTGAGTGAGTGAGTAAGGTTTAGACACAATAGAGTAGAATAGAATAGACACAAACAGTGTTCATTTTAGAAACTAGAGTGAGTGAGTGAGTTTGATTTTACGCCGCTTTTAGCAATATTCCAGCAATATCACGGCGAAGACACCAGAAATGGGCTTCACAAATTGTACCAATGTCGGGAATCAAAATGGGTCTTCGGCGTTATGAGCTAATGCTTTAACCACAAGGCTACCCGACCGCCCCTACAGACCCATGGAGACATTATGACTGAAGGTGGACTACATAACTGTTATCATGTCAATGCAAAAAGTGATCCCTCAAAATCGCCCCAAAATAAGCAAGCATAAACATCAACATTGTATAGGCCATATATCAACCACATTATATCACTACTAAAGTAACTGTTTTCATATTTAAGCTGCAAGATCACATCATCATGATGAGAAGATCATAATATTTGATGCAATCATTACCCATCTCTCGTATCACTTTTCTAGCACATAACGTCTCTTGCTCACGACCTTGAACTCAGCACACATGAAAATGCCACTTCTAAATATGATGTTCACCATCTTCCAAAAGACACCTTTGTCTTTGCCTCACATACAGCAACTCAGAAGACTAAATATGAACTTTAAGCAAGAAAAGATATTTTACAGATCCTACATTTTCAGATCCTTGATTTACAGATCCTTGATTTACAGATCCTACATTTTCAGATCCTTGATTTAAAGATCCTACATTTTCAGATCCTTGATACACAGATCCTTGATTTAAAGATCCTACATTTTCAGATCCTTGATTTAAAGATCCTACAATTTCAGATCCTTGATACACAGATTCTACATTTTCAGATCCTTGATACACAGATTCTACATTTTCAGATCCTAGATTTTAAGATCCTTGACTTAGGGATCCTAGAAGGACATGATGCAAAGTCACCTGAAGTTCATTGAGTAGAGTCTTGATATGCTGTGTCAGATGTGGCACATCATAGATGGAGCCACCAGCTGCGAACGGCACGATGTACGACAGAGGGGGCTTCTCATTCTTGGAGGATTGGAAGGCGGACTTCTGTAATGACAACCAATGACAGCTGACCAGGCCAGTCTCTGTTGTCCCCCTACACAAACAGGCTTCACACCTCCCTCATTACACTCCCCTAGACAGCTGACCAGGCCAGTCTCTGTGGTCCCCCTACACAAACAGGCTTCACACCTCCCTCATAATACTCCCCAAGACAGCTGACCAGGCCAGTCTCTGTGGTCCCCCTACACAAACAGGCTTCACACCTCCCTCATTACACTCCCCAAGACAGCTGACCAGGCCAGTCTCTGTGGTCCCCCTACACAAACAGGCTTCACACCTCCCTCATAACACTCCCCAAGACAGCTGACCAGGCCAGTCTCTGTTGTCCCCCTACACAAACAGGCTTCACACCTCCCTCATTACACTCCCCTAGACAGCTGACCAGGCCAGTCTCTGTGGTCCCCCTACACAAACAGGCTTCACACCTCCCTCATAATACTCCCCAAGACAGCTGACCAGGCCAGTCTCTGTGGTCCCCCTACACAAACAGGCTTCACACCTCCCTCATTACACTCCCCAAGACAGCTGACCAGGCCAGTCTCTGTGGTCCCCCTACACAAACAGGCTTCACACCTCCCTCATAACACTCCCCAAGACAGCTGACCAGGCCAGTCTCTGTGGTCCCCCTACACAAACAGGCTTCACACCTCCCTCATGACACTCCCCAAGACAGCTGACCAGGCCAGTCTCTGTGGTCCCCCTACACAAACAGGCTTCACACCTCCCTCATGACACTCCCCAAGACAGCTGACCAGGCCAGTCTCTGTGGTCCCCCTACACAAACAGGCTTCACACCTCCCTCATTACACTCCCCAAGACAGCTGACCAGGCCAGTCTCTGTGGTCCCCCTACACAAACAGGCTTCACACCTCCCTCATGACACTCCCCAAGACAGCTGACCAGGCCAGTCTCTGTGGTCCCCCTACACAAACAGGCTTCACACCTCCCTCATTACACTCCCCATGACAGCTGACCAGGCCAGTCTCTGTGGTCCCCCTACACAAACAGGCTTCACACCTCTCTCATTACACTCCCCAAGACAGCTGACCAGGCCAGTCTATGTGGTCCCCCTACACAAACAGGCTCCACATCTCCCTCATTACACTCCCCATGACAGCTGACCAGGCCAGTCTCTGTGGTCCCCCTACACAAACAGGCTCCACACCTCCCTCATTACACTCCCCATGACAGCTGACCAGGCCAGTCTCTGTGGTCCCCCTACACAAACAGGCTCCACATCTCCCTCATTACACTCCCCACTAGTTACCCACTCCCAATTTGCAAGGTTGAGTTGCCTGATTTTCAGGAATTAAATCTTGAATTTTGAACACCATATTATTTAGAACAAAGGAACAAAAGAACAAAATAATACATGTTTGTAAATCTTTTTTTTTGTATAGATCCTTTGAGTGAGTGAGTGAGTATGGTTTTATGCCGCTTTTAATGTATTCCAGCAATATCATAGGGGGGTGGGGGGGGGGGGGGGGGGGGGGCACAAGAAATGGGCTTCACCCATGTAGGAAATCGAACCCGGGTCTTCAGCGTGATGAGTGAATGTATTAAGCACTTGACTACCTCACCGCCCCTTAGGATCCAGAGACACCTGGGAAGCCAGCATGACACAAAGCTTCAAGCATGCAGAGTATAACACAAGGGGCAGGCATGGGGTACTGGGGACCTGTTCTGCCCTGGAATCCCCACAGGGAGACAAGCATGGGGTACTTGGGACCTGTTCTGCCCTGGAATCCCCACAGGGAGACAAGCATGGGGTACTTGGGACCTGTTCTGCCCTGGAATCCCAAAAGGGAGAAAAGCATGGGGTACTTGGGACCTGTTCTGCCCTGGAATCCCCACAGGGAGACAAGCATGGGGTACTGGGGACCTGTTCTGCCCTGGAATCCCCACAGGGAGAAAAGCATGGGGTACTTGGGACCTGTTCTGCCCATGAATCCCCACAGGGAGAAACTCATAGGGTACTGGGGACCTGTTCTGCCCTGGAATCGCCACAGGGAGAAAAGCATGGGGTACTTGGGACCTGTTCTCCTCTGGAATCCCCACAGGGAGACAAGCATGCCTTAGAATCGCTGAGCAGCACTTACTGGAAACACGACACTTTCATCAAATGACCAGGCGATGCCCCACCGCATTGTCTTCCCCTGACAAAACTCTGTAGTGGCATATTTTGGAACCTGTAATTGAAATAGCTACATTTACTGAATGATTAATATGCATTCTGACATAAAACATGGACACCCACCTGTACCCCTCCCACCAATCAACACCCACAACTAGCCCCCTTCCCACCAATCAACACCCACCTGTACCCCCTCCCACCAATCAACATCTACCTGTACCCCCTCCCCTAATCACCATACACCTGTACCCCTCCACCAATCAACACCCACCTGTACCCCCTCTCCCAATCAACACCCACCTGTACCCCCTCCACCAATCAACACCCACCTGTACCCCTCCCACCAATCAACACCCACCTGTACCCCCTCCACCAATCAACACGCACCAGTAGCCCCCCTCCCACCAATCAACACCCACCTGTACCCCCTCCCACCAATCAACATCTACCTGTACCCCCTCCCCTAATCACCATACACCTGTACCCCTCCACCAATCAACACCCACCTGTACCCCCTCTCCCAATCAACACCCACCTGTACCCCCTCCACCAATCAACACCCACCTGTACCCCTCCCACCAATCAACACCCACCTGTACCCCCTCCCACCAATCAACATCCACCTGTACCCCCTCCCCTAATCACCATACACCTGTACCCCTCCACCAATCAACACCCACCTGTACCCCCTCTCCCAATCAACACCCACCTGTACCCCCTCCACCAATCAACACCCACCTGTACCCCTCCCACCAATCAACACCCACCTGTACCCCCTCCACCAATCAACACCCACCTGTACCCCCTCCCCCAATCAACACCCACCTGTACCCCCTCCCACCAATCAACACCCACCTGTACCCCCTCCACCAATCAACACCCACCTGTACCCCCTCCCGCAATCAACACCCACCTGTACCCCCTCCACCAATCAACTTCCACCTGTACCCCTCCCCCAATCAACACCCACCTGAAACCCCTCCCACCAATCAACACCCACCTGTACCCCCTCCCCCAATCAACACCCACCTGTACCCCCTCCCACCAATCAACACCCACCTGTACTCCCTCCCCCAATCAACACCCACCTGTACCCCCTCCACCAATCAACTTCCACCTGTACCCCCTCCCACCAATCAACACCCACCTGTACCCCTCCCCCAATCAACACCCACCTGAAACCCCTCCCACCAATCAACACCCACCTGTACCCCCTCCCCCAATCAACACCCACCTGTACCCCCTCCACCAATCAACTTCCACCTGTACCCCCTCCCACCAATCAACACCCACCTGTGTACCCCCTCCCACCAATCAACACCCACCTGTACCCCCTTCCATCAATCAAAACCCACCTGTACCCCCTCCCATCAATCAACACCCACCTGTACCCCCTCCATCAATCAACATCTAAAATCACACGAAATTCTTTCCCACCAATCAACACTCACCCACCTGTAGTTTGCGAAGCTCCTCCTTCAGGGGGGGTATGCTGGTTTTCTTGCCCAGCATTGATGTGTACACTCTGCAACAAGTCATCATCAACTGAGGCCACATAACAGGTATGCATGTCATGGTTCCCTCTGTCTCCGGGAGGCAAGGGAGTTAACTGATTTAAATAGTCAAGTTTCCACCCTTGCTCAACTAGGCTGGAATTCCTGGGGTCAATCGCAGCGCCACCAGTGGCTATTACGAGTTATGTCCCTTCTAAGCCTCTCCTATGGACCAATCAGATTCCACCAAAATGGCGGCGCCCAGTCAAGATGATCTAATCGATAATCAAGATCTATATTGTGATAATACGGGTCTTTCATCGCGAAGTGCATCAAATCATGTGAGCAAATTGATAAAAAACATGAAAAGACTTGGAAAACATCTGTTAAGTTGGAGGTGAACATGCTTTGCAAATCATTCAATCCACCAAAATCTGCACGACAGTTCACTCACCGGATGTCGATTTCGTTGTGCGATTTTGATTGGACTATGCACAGACTTGTTAGTCCAGCCAAAATGTAACTCCATAATACCAGCCTAGTTCGGCAAGGGTGGAAACTGGACTTTTATAGTCAGTTAACTGTCTTGCCTCGGGAAGATGGGTTCCCTCACAAACAAAGCAGTCAGATTACATGTCCACAATATTTCTTCCACCATGACCGCAAGCAGAAAAAATCAAATTCTTACTTAGCTTACATCATTGCATTAAACACCAGGGCAAAATACCTTCAATTTAATAACATAAGGACATTAATTTATTTATTTCCAAATTGAAAAAAATCTTTTTTAGCAATATTTAACCATTATCACTTTGTTAAAAATCTTTAATAAATTAATCTAGTTAACACTAAATAAGATTGGTAACATAAGGGTATGACATTCCCCTAAGAATGACCCACCTTACTCTGGTCCTCAGAGCTGCTGAGTCAGCAATCAGCTGTTTGACAAACATCACCTCCCCTCCGGGGGCGATACTCTCCTTGGGGCTGGCAGTGCTCACGGAGCAGGGCTCACTGCGCTCCACGCTGCGGGATGTCGACACTGCCTGTGCTTCCATGTGGTCCGCAAAGAAAGGCGGATTACATATGCAGAATTCGTACGTCACGTCTGAATCCTCGTCCAGCAGCGCCCCAGTAATCAAAGCATCTTCTGTCACTTTCTTAACTGTAACCAAGGTAACCAGTGGTAAACATTCATTCACTTGCAGTTAACAATTTAATGGTAAATTATGGTTTAAATAAAATATGTAGATGAACAAACAAACAATGTATCCAAATGTGGTAGAGTCGTTTAATTTTACGTTAGCTGTGTCAAAGATAGAGATAAACGTGGTCAAAAGTCCATTAATCAGGGACTAGTGAAAATGTAGAGGGACAAGTTGTTTTCATTCAAAATCTAGTAATGCTACACAGACCACTACTCCAACTGTGCTGTGAGGTGGAGATGACCAATGGTGTCTACCACTGCTGGATACAAACGTAAACCGGATAGTTTCTTTTCACATTTTTAAATAAATAATGTTTGTTTGATTCATTGATCATGTTGATTGTTGTTCAACGCCACATTCTGCGATATTCCAGCTATTTGATAGAGGTCTGTAAATAATTGAGTCTGGACCAGACAAACCAGTGATTGACATAATGAGCATCGATCCACACAATTGGGATACAATGAAATGCATCAACCAAGTCAGCGAGCCTGACCACCCGATCCCTTTAGTCGCCTCTTACGACAAACATAATAGCTTTTTACAAGATAAATAATGACATATATAATGAATAATGTTTGTATTTTGTTTAACGCTGCACCCAGCAATATTCCAGCTATATGACGGCGGTCTGGTAATAATGGAGCCTGGACCAGACAGAGACTGACATGAGCATCAATCTTCTTGATTTGGATATGATGACATGCATCAACCAAGTCAGTGAGCCTGACCACCTTATCCCTTTTGTCATCTGCTACGACAAGCATGGGGCAGGGCTTCGCACATTGTACCATGTGAGGAATCAAACCCGGGTCGTCGGCGTGATTTCAAGTGAACACTTGAACATCTTTGCTACCCCACTGCCCCTATCTTATACAGAACTGACATTAAATACAGATACAGACCTGACATTAAATACAGATACAGAACTGACATTAAATACAGATACAGACCTGACATTAAATACAGATACAGACCTGACATTAAATACAGATACAGAACTGACATTAAATACAGATACAGAACTGACATTAAATACAGATACAGAACTGACATTAAATACAGATACAGACCTGACATTAAATACAGATACAGACCTGACATTAAATACAGATACAGAACTGACATTAAATACAGATACAGACCTGACATTAAATACAGATACAGACCTGACATTAAATACAGATACAGACCTGACATTAAATACAGATACAGACCTGACATTAAATACAGATACAGACCTGACATTAAATACAGATACAGACCTGACATTAAATACAGATACAGAACTGACATTAAATACAGATACAGACCTGACATTAAATACAGATACAGACCTGACATTAAATACAGATACAGAACTGACATTAAATACAGATACAGACCTGACATTAAATACAGATACAGAACTGACATTAAATACAGATACAGACCTGACATTAAATACAGATACAGACCTGACATTAAATACAGATACAGAACTGACATTAAATACAGATACAGACCTGACATTAAATACAGATACAGACCTGACATTAAATACAGATACAGAACTGACATTAAATACAGATACAGACCTGACATTAAATACAGATACAGAACTGACATTAAATACAGATACAGAACTGACATTAAATACAGATACAGACCTGACATTAAATACAGATACAGACCTGACATTAAATACAGATACAGAACTGACATTAAATACAGATACAGAACTGACATTAAATACAGATACAGACCTGACATTAAATACAGATACAGACCTGACATTAAATACAGATACAGACCTGACATTAAATACAGATACAGACCTGACATTAAATACAGATACAGACCTGACATTAAATACAGATACAGACCTGACATTAAATACAGATACAGACCTGACATTAAATACAGATACAGACCTGACATTAAATACAGATACAGACCTGACATTAAATACAGATACAGAACTGACATTAAATACAGATACAGAACTGACATTAAATACAGATACAGAACTGACATTAAATACAGATACAGACCTGACATTAAATACAGATACAGAACTGACATTAAATACAGATACAGAACTGACATTAAATACAGATACAGACCTGACATTAAATACAGATACAGACCTGACATTAAATACAGATACAGACCTGACATTAAATACAGATACAGACCTGACATTAAATACAGATACAGACCTGACATTAAATACAGATACAGACCTGACATTAAATACAGATACAGAACTGACATTAAATACAGATACAGACCTGACATTAAATACAGATACAGACCTGACATTAAATACAGATACAGAATCATTCTTTGTTCAATTAAACTAGCAGCAGTTTATAAGCCATGTTAACACAAGAAAGACACAGAGGGACAAACCTGTTATTGCTGAAGTCAAGTTATTTTTCTCAACATTTTTCCTGGCATAGAAGACATTTTGTGCATCAATATCTGTCGCCAAGAAGGACCATTTGTTCATCTTGTTGCCAAGCAACGGATAAACACAAGATGAACCGGTGCCTGAAAAGGAAAACATTATCATACAAAGGATCCTTGAACACATTATCAAGTTTGGCCAGACAGAAGAGGTTTCAATGGAATACAATATGTTTGTGACTTAATTCCTCTGATACTAGCTAGGCACCAGATGTGTATAGTTATATGACACTGGCTGGTGTCGAGCTCGGCAAAGGGTTAAAAACTCTAGATGTCTCCTGACCACACCTTACTGACAAGCTGACACTTGTGTTTCAAAACAAGACCCTTCTAGATCCGGACACTTTCTGTGAAGTGCACTGGAGTAATCATTACTTTTCCACACAACATACATCTCTAGAAATGAATTTAGGTAAGGGGAGACAACTTTCCGCTTTGTGTACATTACCTCCCTTGAAACACTGCAGCACTTGAATTATCAAGCTCGACAACAATGCACACATCAGGCAGTAGTTTATACATTGCTGCCACAAACCTATCACAAGACATTTAAACTTGTCAACTTTTACTGTGTGAATATATGTTTTAAGAAACCAAAACATCGCTGATTTACAGTTTTGCTCTTTTGTTTAACATTATCATTTGATTATACTTTCCTTGTTTCATTTATGACTTGTATCTCTATACTACACGTTTTTATGTGTAAACATAAGAACGCTACATGATAAAAAATTAAAAACGAAATATGGTTTATTTAACAATATCATGACGTCATTTCTGGAGATTTGAACATGCCCTTGAAACTTGCTGACGTAAACTGGACGACATTATTTTTGAGAGGGAAGTCTCTTCAGAGTTGTTCCCCATAGATGTAGCTGGACAGCGCACCTCATGGTTTATTCTCCCTGCAGTGTTGCATTGTACATTTATTTCTTAAACAAACAACACTGACACTTTCTTTAAGATCCACGTATGGAAAGTGAACTTGCTCCCATCTGGACACAAACATAGAGAATAACTGAGTAGGGTTAACGAGGCTTTAAACAGTAGTTCAGTCAAATCTCGGAGTGTCAACTGACATTCCTAGAAACATCATCAGCGGCAATCTAAGATTCAAAGCCACAATGATAGGTTGCTAGTGCACCCAAGGGATGCAATTTGTTGAATCATCTAAATAAAGCATACAGCAAGAATATCTCAAAAACAATTTCTTACCAATGTCTATTCCTCTAACACCAGATTTCTTCCTTCCAATGATATCTTCAACCCACAAGAGGTAATTGAGTCTCAATGGGATAGTTGGGACCAGCCGATCCTGGGGCAGCTCCACATCTAGGCCAAAGTCTTCCTTCATCAAAGTCTTGGTGAGAACTCGCAAATCTTCTGGGTTCTTGAAGTCCAAGAACACCTTGCCTGCCGTGTCCGTTACGACATGGCTGCTAAACTCGGGGTACTTGCTGGCCAGGAGTTGGAAGTTTGGCTTCTGGTGTCTGTAGGGGTTCCGAGGGTGCATGTATTTGTTGAGAGACATCTGTGAAATGTGACAAGAAGCATCTGTAGTAAACTTTTCAGGCTTTGGAATATACAACTTAAGTACTAATACAGTCCAAGTCCCCGGATCTTTACGGCAAGTATGGGTTGCTGAAGACCTATTCTACCCCGGAATCTTCACGGCAAGTATGGGTTGCTGAAGACCTATTCTACCCCGGATCTTTACGGCAAGTATGGGTTGCTGAAGACCTATTCTACCCCGGAATCTTCACGGCAAGTATGGGTTGCTGAAGACCTATTCTACCCCGGAATCTTCACGGCAAGTATGGGTTGCTGAAGACCTATTCTACCCCGGAATCTTCACGGCAAGTATGGGTTGCTGAAGACCTATTCTACCCCGGAATCTTCACGGCAAGTATGGGTTGCTGAAGACCTATTCTACCCCGGAATCTTCACGGCAAGTATGGGTTGCTGAAGAGCTATTCTACCCCGGATCCTTACGGCAAGTATGGGTTGCTGAAGACCTATTCTACCCCGGATCTTTACGGCAAGTATGGGTTGCTGAAGACCTATTCTACCCCGGATCTTTACGGCAAGTATGGGTTGCTGAAGACCTATTCTACCCCGGATCTTCACGGCAAGTATGGGTTGCTGAAGACCTATTCTACCCCGGATCTTCACGGCAAGTATGGGTTGCTGAAGACCTATTCTACCCCGGAATCTTCACGGCAAGTATGGGTTGCTGAAGAGCTATTCTACCCCGGATCTTCACGGCAAGTATGGGTTGCTGAAGACCTATTCTACCCCGGAATCTTCAAGCATGGGTTGCTGAAGACCTATTCTACCCCGGAATCTTCACGGGTCTCAGGAGATTTCTGAGTCATTATCACGGACTATTATTAGCTGAGTCTACTTGGCAGAATTTTACTTCACTCAGCTTTGAAATAGAAGCTAAAGTTACAGACAGTTGATATTCTTGTTGTTTCTGAACATGTTTTTATGTATCAAGTTAGACATCACTAACTTACACAGAGAGAGAGAGAGAGAGAGAGAGATGGTTTTATGCTGCTTTCAGGCTTTTTATGGGCATGAGGAGCAAACACTTTAACCACCAGGCGACGCCTCTGCCCCCGGTAACTTGAAACTGTTTTGAGATGACAATAACTATGTTCACTTGATCATGTTGTAATTAATTAATTACATTAATAAAAATGTGTATAACATACAATTCAATGATACATTGTCTCTGAACAGCAGTCAGGAAGTCCAATCAAAATCTGCTTCACATTTTATCCATTGCCCTGAATAGCAGATTCCCCAAATTGGTTTGTTGTTTAACGCCGCACTCAGCAATATTACAGCTATATGATGGTGGTCTGTAAATAATCAAGTCTTGTCCAGACAATCCGGTGATAAATATCATGAGCATCGATCCAGGCAATTGGGATCGGGGACATGCATCAACCAAGTCAGCGAGCCTGACCATCCGGTCCCGTCAGTCGCCTTTTACGACAAGCATAGTTACCTGGGTTGCTGAAGGCCTATTGTACCCCGGAATCTTCACGGGTCCAATTAAAGGCCCCTGCTGATCTTGGGCCCTCAGTGACGGTCAGTTGCCCCCCTGGATTTTTTTATAGAAAAAAGTTTTATTTGAACAAAGACGTATATAGAATGAAATTGTATGTACGTCTGTGATTTGAATCATGAAAATACTTTCTGGGGACAAGTGATACTTGTACAAATATTTGCCCCAATGCAGATATTTGCATCCGGTCCCTGTTGTCTATCAGGGAATAAATAAATAACAATGGCATCAGTTGAGTAATTCACTCAATAATTGTGTGTAATAATGTTTTACATACATGGTTGGAAAACGAAAACAAAATTGAGGACGCACAAACTAATCTTACCTTCAAGGCCTAGTCATTTACAAGTTGGTTGACAACTGTTGAAAACCAAAGGAAAACGTATATAAAAGCTGATGAAATATAGAGTTTATGGTGCAATCACTAGTAATAAGTTGGGTCTCGATAACACGTTTACTGAACGTTTCAACTCATTCAAAGAAACATGTGTGAGCCGCCATTAGATTTAAGTGACATCACTTCCTACATGCGAAACGCATCACTTCCGGCAGCGTGAGGACATGCGCAATATAAACTTCAAATTGGAAGGGGATAATACGTGTTCTTGCTCTTCAAGTTCGTAAAATTTCGATTATCTGTGTTGGTTGGAGGAAATTACTTTCTCTGACACATCTCAGGTAAAAAGCCCTATTCATATTTGTACCTTTTTTTTGAAATCACATGAGTATCACGCGTGTTAGAAGGACTTTTCATTGACAGTTGCTGTCACTTGACTGATAACATGGCGGTCAGATGAAAGAGAGCATGCAAAAATTATCATTCATAATTATTTGACGGTTTCAATGTATTTGATAATGGTAACCTGTTGTTTTCTCTTACAGTTGGAAACATATGTAGTAGCGCTCGTTTCATGTACATAAAATATGCGCACGCAATGATGTCATCGGCATAAAACGATCGATTTGCTTCCTCATTTTAATTCCAGACAAGTCACACGCAGATATATTCCAGAATCGATTCACCATTACGTCAATACACAACATACTGTTGCATGCAGATATTTGTCGCAATTGACAGGCGAATCAAGTGCTGCTGGTAAAATTAGCTGATCACTTCTGAGTAAATGGGAAAACAGAACCAAAATAGGTCACTAAGACGAAAATTATAATGCATGGAAGTTTTCAATGACATCAGCTGGGCTAATCGTGCTGGATGAGTACTGTTACTTCATCATGTCCAAAGGTAGAATGACGTTCAGCCAATTTTATTTTCAATTTGAATATATTCATGGAAGGAAATATATATTAGTGAAAGGCTTATTACATATGCCAATATATTATGCCATACAAGAACAAAAGACAGACATGTCCTCAGAAGTAGGCGGTAAGATAAGTTTTTATGTATGCAACTGTAAAACCATATTGTGCATGTGTATTGAAAAGAGATGATGTTAACTGCTTATGTATTGTCAGCTCCATGATAATAATAATGTTGTGATGTTGGCAATAATAAAGATAAGCCTTCCAAATAAATTTTCATTTCGAATTTTTGGATTGTTTGGATAGTTTCATTGTGTGCTTAGCTCTTCTGTTGAATGTGTCTGAGCATATTTTGTCTTGTGTCAGCTGTGATTGGTTAGCTATATCATCTGTTAAACTCTAATAACTGTTGACTCTTCTTGTCTGAACTTTTCATTAGGCATTGTTTTCAGTAGATTGTAGTGTTATTATTTAAGCAATTATCAAACACATGAGCTGAGGTTACTTGTCTGAAATTTACAAGACTCAGGCTTTGATCTAGTGGCTGAAGTCAGCCTACCATATGTGATCATGTTTCAGTAATATATAGTCTGTATGTGGACAACCCTGTACATGTTTCATTGCCACAAAACACTGACATTTGTCATGTTTATGTATATATGAGTCCAATAATAATATTCTAATATATGATAGATTATATTTTCACAGAAAATTAACGGATCTGTCATCACCATCATCAATGATGATAACTCATATCACTTCAGCATGTCAAGCTATCCATAGATAAAAAATAATAAAATACTGTGGACACCCTATTCTCAAACTCTGCTTCGTAACTGTAGTTCGTATCTTTTGATCCCAAGAAAATTCATTTTGTGCTGGCTTCAGGAACTTTGGGCCATGGGTTGATCAGCCATAGTATTGGTATTGTAGGTGTTTCTTACTTAGGTTGTGAAATCACGTGAAAATATAAGATGCAATAATATTTGTTTATAATACAAGTGCCAAAGTCTTTATGCCTAATAACTGTACATATTCAATATTATTTGTGAAGAGGAAGGAGTTTAAATAGCTGACAGTGTGGAAATGCTGTGCGATGTTCCCACACAATCCTACTGTTTTGACATGATGAGATAAGGAATTTAGTCCAACAGTTCAGGGCATTACCCTAAGAGTAAGACGTCAGTGAGATTGTAGAAGTTTAGCAAAATGGCTTCATGCACTAAATTGAGATGAAAATGGAGATTAATACCTCATACTGCACTTATATAGCAAAGTGTGTGTCTGTGTGTGCACTTGCTTGCTTGTGCTAGTCCGGACTAATGCCAGTTTTATTGTGTTAGCCCCACTGACATACCATGCCACAGTTTAACATGGATACAGTATACTGACTCCAAGACAACCAGCCTTTGTTTTATCATGGCCCCTGTAATGCCGAGGGCCAGGCAGGGTAACACCAAGTACCATCTGTTAACATTGTATGGTGTGACGCAGCTGGAGATTTTTTTTTATTACCTCTGTGTACATGGCAACAGGTAGCAATTATTGGTCAGGATGAACACTGTGAAATTAACTGTTCACTGAAACTTGTGCAAGTGTGTTCTTGTATGATGAAGAGATTAGGTGATGACAATATGAATTTGAAGTCTGAGCTAAATGTTCAAATAATGCTTTGTTGTCATGCTTATTGTATAAATTGTGGCTCTGCCATTATTACCGAGAAAGGAATTGGAACACTTGTTTTGTTTAACAGATATGAAAGAGAGTGAGATCATGAAAACCTACCATATTGTTTCTGAATAAGTTCAACAATCCAACTGTTTGGTCAACATGGTCTAAATGTTATGTTAGCATGATGAGTTGAGTTGTAGAGGAGCAGTCTCAGAGCTCCAAATAACTTTTTGAGCAATCAAGTTTTTACTTGACCGTTTCTATTTTAATTGGTTTATTACATTTTTCATTGGGTAACCAATATTTTTTAACTCATCTATTCATCACTCTAGTGGGTTTTCCCCAAATGAGTAAATATTTTGGTATTTAAAGCAAAGGAAATAATGATTTAGATGTATATAACTGTTCTAACTATATCGGCTTGACTTGGAAAGTATATTAACTCATAATTGTATTTCAGAAATTAGCTCTTGTATGCATGCTGAAAAAGCTTCTTCCGGTATTTACGCGTGCTGTTTTTATACATTTGAGTTTTCATTTAATACATGCAGTTCTGTACGCAACTTAATTGAAACTAATTGGGTTTTAATTATTATGGGCGGGTATTTTACGCAAATACGCAGCTTATCTGCAGTCTGCGTCTCACATATGATAGAAGGGTTGGGCTATACTTAGGTTTTATTCTGGTGCTTATGAGTATTAAGTCATCGGAAATGAAAATACTAAATATTTCAGAGGTCAAATAATGTCTTTATCTAAATGTAAAGAATAGAGATTGTTACTATACCAAGTATATGAGTGGCACTTTCACTGGTAGCCTACAGGGTGTATCATATCATCTAAGATGTATGGGAAACAGCATTGTTTCATGGCTTAAGACATTTTTTTTACAAGAGTCCTTCCAATATTATTCATGTCAATGCACTTCACAGAGCTACAGATAAGAAGCGTATTTGCATAAAATACCCTAAAATAGTGTACAAAACCCAATTATTTTCAATTAACTTGCGTACAGAAATGCATGCATTAAATGAAAACCTCAAATGTATAAAAACAATTCGCGTAAATACCAATTTTCAGCATGCGTTCAAAAGAGCTAATTTCCTAAGCACAATTACGAGCTAATTTACTCTGAGTCTAGCTGATATATATTTAGAACAGTTATATACATCTTAAACATTATTTCCTTTTTTTCAAAGCTTAAAATGTTCACTAATTTTGGGGAAAAAACAATAGAGTGATGAATAGATGAGTGAAAAAATATTGATTACCAAATGAAAAATGTAATAACCCAATTAAAATAAAAACCCTAGAGTAAAAACTCAATTGCTCAAATAGTTATCTGGAGCTCTGACTTCATGATACATGTCCATAGTATGTAGCCAGTGTGCTGGGCAACAGCTCCTTGACCCCTGTAGCCCCACCCACCAGGGTTTAATGGTCAGTGAGATGGGCCCTCAGGCAGGGAGACAGTAACAAGGCATTGTTAGTATTGTATCAGTGATTGAAATAATGAGCTTGATCGTATTAGATGTGACTAGTCAAGTGCATAAACCTGTCAATCATCTCAACAAATGCTCAATGGAAACGAAAACACAGAACCAATATAAAAATAGTTTTGTCGGTTATATTTGAGAAGGTACTTTGGAACAAAAGCAGTTTTGTGTGTATGGTTTGAATAGTCTTTGTCATGATTGTAGTATATCTATATGGAGTATGTGGATTGATAAGGAGTCTAGACTATAGAAAGGCTTGCTGTTCAGTACTTGTTTTGGAGTATTTAAACTGCTTAAGTGTCCTTTTCACAGCTGCCAGTGCTTAAGTGGATGGAAACCTGTTTAGCAGACTAAGGTTTGTGATAATTGGTTGACTTGTGTCCCTACAGAATGATCTACACATTATCAGTGACATAATTTCAGGGTGCAAGTACTGATGTTAGTAGAGTTAGTCATGTTTATCTATTGAGTAGTTTTTCTTCACGTTTTCCTCAGTTGGTCAATGTGACCATTGATAATTTTAGAATGAATTATGGTTATCAAGTAAACTCATCCAAACATGTATGTAAAAAACCCTAAATGAGTTGATACCTTCCCTGCCTGTATGTGTTGGGTGCATTTAGCCACTGTTAATGTGAAACATGTAACATGCACATGTTTATTATTTTGGACATACTGTCTTAATTTTGGATGAGACCATATTTCACAATTGTCATTGGTGTAAGTGCAGTTATGGGCTATTCAGAGTTTTCTCCCTTTACTGCTAGGAACTGCTGGTCACGGGTTCAAATCCAGGATTTGCCATGTGATCCTTGGTTTGTTAACCCCATCACTTGTTCATGGTCACGTCCAACACATGCCACCTCCGTAACTTTGTGTTTTCCTGTCTCCCGAAGCTGACACATTGGTATGTATAACTGAAGGACTGTTCAAAGCTGTGGACGGTAGGTCATGTAATACAACAATATCAAACCCAGAATATTCACAAAGACCCAGGTTCGATTCCCAACATGGGTACAATGTGTGAAGCCCATTTCTGGTGTCCCCCGCCGTGATGTTGCTGGAATATTGCTAAAAGCGGCGTAAAACAAAATGAATGGTATGTTTATTTTACAGTTGATTCATGTATATGACCACTTTACCATGTTTACTGGAATAGTTGTAATATGATAAGCCATAACAGGTTCTTGTGTTTGGATGCTAGTGTTCAGTGATTGTCATGTAACAATCCCTCGTCTGTTATGATGATTA